GATGTGAATTTCCAGTCTTCAGTTGGCGTTTCATGCTCAAGGCCTTTGTGCAGCACAGGGTTCCATCAGTACTCCCTTCTTACAGTCTTGTGGATGGCCATTGTCACTACTACGAGGGACGCTCTTCCAGCTTCGTGCGGATGATGCACAATGTTCTCTCTGTGCAAACTTTCCTATGTTTGCGCAGATAGCTCGCTAGAAAGATACCTTTGGCAAGTGCTTGGATCCTCAACTTCTAAGCTCTTTAGTCCCTAACACCGACCACCCGAACCCTCAATCCTTTGGGTTTAGGGCTTATCCCAGAGAGGTGGGAATGGTCAGCGGCGTGAACATGTGGGAGGCAACCGACGCTTTGACATTCGTCGTGTTTCAACCTTGCGGTGTAGGCTCTAGGCTTAGGGCTTGGCTTGTTGAACCTAGCGAAACCAAGGTGTAACAAGTATTGGATTCTGGTCATTCTTGTATCGTAGCTGTTGTAATGGAGGTACTTACCCACTTTCTCCTGGCGATCCCCTTTGGGGCATCGGCGTGCGGCCCAAACCTTACGTTCCAAACCATGAAATCAAGGCTTTAAGGGCATGGGGTCTGTCAGGAATACCACGAACCTACATGGTGTTTTGAATAACAGAAGCAAGCAGCAATGTATGGACGGGCCTGCCTAGAGCCGTAGTAGTATCTGTGATGAGGAGTAGTAGTAGTAGTCGTCGTCGTCGTAGTAGTAGTAGTAGGAGTAGTAGCAGCAGCAGGATTAGTAGCAGCAGCAAAATGTTCCTCCTACAACTACACGTATCGTACGCCTGCAGGGTTTAGGGTCTAGGGCTAGGAGTTTAGGGCTTAGGGTTATTTAAGCACTACTCGCTATATGATACTGCTGCATCGAACTCTTGTTGGAATATCTGTGGTTCTAAGCATTCGCACCGTGAATGATGCAGATGCGACAACCATGAATAGCGCAGGGGCCTAAACACTTACCAATACTAGTTTGGGGGTGCCCCATTGTAGCTGCAGTATATTATACCCCCCTTCTAAAAACGGAGCCCCCTGCAAGCAAAGTAAAGCAGAGCAAAGGAAAGCACAGTACGGCAAAGTACTGCGCAGTCAGTCAGTCGGTTGGTAAGGAAGGCAGTTGAGATAAGAAAGACATCTAGGTGGCTATACAATACTATGTACGGACGTTTACATTGCCGTATATATCATACATACATTCATACACACAGGTTCAGGGGGAAGGTGCCCTACAACAACACATCAATAGCCTGAATCCTTCCCCTCCACAACGCATCAAAAGACTGAGTCCTCAACCTCAACGGTCCTGACGCCAAGCGAAAGCTTCACACAGATTATCAAGACCAGAAGCCCTTATTGAAAAAAGTTAACTTCTTCCCAAATCCTTAAACCGCGCAGCCAATACATCTCCGAAGTTTCAGGTTTCAAGCTCCCACACCCTAAACCTCCGAAACCCTCAGCCCTACCTATAGTCTCCATTGTAGTTCCTTTTCTTGGTTAACCAGAATCTCCATTATAGGATCCTAACCATAAAACTGGTTAACCAAAAAAAGGAACTACAATGGAGACTATAGGTAGGGTAGACCTCCAAGCCGCAAAAACTCAGTCAAGCCCTAAGACGCCAAACTCCAAATACCCAAGACATCCGAAACCGTATATCTCCTTTACTATACTGAACACTAGAAACCGTAACAACCCTGGGTATGCAACTGCCTACCGCTTTGAAGGCTACACCCTGCAATCAAGGGGTCCTGACCTACTATTTTGTAGGGTCTGCAGGTAAACCCTACAGCACATATCCTTAAGCATTAGTGGTTTGGGAAATATTGGTCTCTCCAGGGGTTCTATGGTTTTGGGGCTTGTGCTCTCTCCCGACAGTCTGGTGGCGTTCCGCGACTGGGTTTGCAGAACCTCCGCTTTTCCGATGGCGCCTTGGTTGGGGCGAGCGATCTTAACGCTACAGAGTTCCTTCAATTTAGGGGTTACTATCCCTATAGGGATCAATATAGCCCAAAAGACTTGTGTAGTATGGTCTTCGGGCCCAAAGCCAGCATATATGAGTCCTTAGATCCCTAGGGTATACGGGTAAGGGTTACTCTCAGGGTTCCTTACAAGGGCCAGTGCAATGGTTACTTTGAGGGTCGTTCAGAGTTGTGTAGCGGTTTTTAGCGCTCTATCCGGGGCTAGGAGCAATTAGGCCTCTCAAGAATTAGTACTTTCAACTATTAAGATATTTTCTGTTATCGTGGCTACACGGGTGTGTAACATTTGACTGCTAACTTGTATGCTATTGGGTTTGGAAAGCCTAAACTCTAAACTCTACACCCCAGGTCGTAAGGCCTCTCAGACCTTTCGGGGCACTGGAGAAAAGGAGCTCAAACAAAAAAAAAAAACTCTACACCCCAAACCCCTAAACCCTAAACCCGTAAACCACAAACCTAAGGCCCATCAGAGCCGAAAACAAGGGTTCCCGCGGTTTGTACTACCCTAAACCCCCAACCCTTAAACCCCTTAAAACCCTCTACAGGCATGGGATGCCGGAGGTCCAAACCCCAAAAAACAACCCTTTAAAGGAACCACCCTCGAAGACGTCCTAAACCCCTTGAGGAAAGAGGAACCCCAAGACCTTTAAGGTAGCCTAAACCATCAAAGTGGGCCTCATTATAGTACCTTATAAGTCAAGAGAAAAAATCACCTTCAAAGGAGCCTTTAAAGGAAGTTTATGGTATACTATATAGTCCTTTAATCTGCGACCCTTTAAAGGAGCCTTTAAAGGAATTTTCTAGTATCCTATATCGTCCTTCAATATAGTACCCTTTGACAGAGCCTTTAAAGTACCCTTGAAAAGAGCTTTTAAAGGAACCTAAACCCTGAACCCTGGAACCTAAACCCTAAACCCCTAAACCCCGAACCCTAAACCCTAAACCCTGAAACCTAAACCCTAAACCCTAAACCCTAAACCCTAAACCCTAAACCCCTGAACCCTAAACCCTAAACCCCAAAAAACCCTAAACCCTGAACCCCAAAAAACCCTAAACCCTGAACCCCTAAACCCAAGCCCGAGGTCCCCATGGCGCGCGAGGAGTTGGCCTCCACGGCTCCGACTCAGCGGCCTTGGCTCCGCCTCTTTGGCGGCGTTTTTTTTTGGTTTAGGGTTTTTGGTTTAGGGTTTAGGGTTTAGGGTTTTTGGTTTAGGGTTTAGGGTTTAGGGTTTAGGGTTCTTTTTTTTGGGGGGGTGGGGGTTCAGGGTTCAGGGTTTAAGGTTTTTTTGGGTTTTTTTTGGCTTGGGGGTGGTTTTCCTACCTTTGGTTAGTAGGGAACCCAAAGGGTCCAAGTATCATTGTGGTATATACTTAGACCCCCAAAATACCCTTTAAGTATATCCTATAATGATACTTGGACCCTTTGGGGGCTGGAAGAATGGTAGTAATAGTAGTTCTAATTGTACTTCATTCCTCCATTCCCTACACCAAAGGTAAGATAATTGAGGCCTCCCTGGGGCTCCACGTACCCATTTAGTAGGTACTTAGGCCTTAAAGAGGTCACTATATGTATGGGTACTTCAAGGCCTACGTACCTACTTTTCTGGGTACATGGAGCCTTTGGGTTTGGTAGCTTTGGGTGGTTTTTTGGGGGTTTAGGGATTTGGGTATTGGGGTTTTGGGTTTTAGGGTGCTGGGGCAATGATGTGTTTATCATTGGCCAGAGAGTGGCGAATGTGCAGGTTGTACTTCAACGCCGAATACGCTAAACGGGCCCAAGGACGAGCCGAAACTCCAGTTTTAAAGTCACTTTTCTAGGGGTGCAGGACGTTTCGGGGCGCGAAATTGACAAAACCGGAGCGGTAGTAGGTTCGTGCAAGATGGGCGGAAGGAGCCAATGTACCCCAAGGCCCTGAAACCCAACATGCTGAGTTCCTAAGCAGTTACGCCACTGTGCTTGCAACCCCACAGAAACCCGGGAGACCCCTCAAATATCAAGAGCTCGTTGCCCAATGCCCACACGGTCCAGGAAACATCATAGTAAGTATATACATAACTTTGGATGCCCAAATATCACTCAAGAGCTTACTAGGCAGGAACTTGGACCCTTTGGGTAAAGCCGCCTCGCACCTCCGGTTACCAGTTTTTAGAGTTCCGGCTTACATGTGTCGGTTTATGGCTTGGGGTTTAAAGTGCAAGCAGATAGGAACCGGATGGAAGACTCATCCCCTCAAAACCTGACTGGAGGTGAGGATGTCGAAGCTTGAAGGATCATGTACAGTAGAAGCCAGAAAGTTGGAATATCATTATCATAATCCCTTTAAGGTAAATTATAGGGGCTCCTGCCATTATTCCATATTCCAACTTTCTGGAGTTCCTCGCAGGCTTTGAGGTTTCGGGCCGTGCTTCTGTGCTAACCTGCAGCAAAAAAACTCGAAGCCGAAGCAAAGGCGCCGGCTTAGAGCTTCAAGGCCCCTAAACCCTACCTTAACCCTGCAGAACCCAAGAACCCACGTTTGTTGGGTTCCTTATTGTGGTTTCCTTGTAATGTAAGTCCTTAAAACGGTAGGTTCTTCCGGGTTATAGGGTAAACTCTAAACCCGAAAGGTCCCGTGTTGTTCCCCCTTGTGCCTCCAAGTTGCTTGATGCAGCTCCGCCGCCATTTGCCTATGCATTTCCGGTTGTCCTATCACCCCGCCCGAGATGCAGTGCTCCATATGCATCATATATATATATATATATATATATATATGCGTGTGTATGTGTATGTGTGTATACATGCGGAGGTATAGGTAAAGTTACAACATGAATATACACATGTAGAGTAGTTTAGGATCTTAGTTTAGGATTTTCCCTGGTGTCCCTCAGCCTAAGCCCCCTGAGGAAGCAAATAGCTTATTCAAGTATTCGGCATACAACAGGATGGATGAGCGAGCCAAGGAGATGTCGCTCCTTGGCGAAAGCACTGCAACTGCCCAGGGGACAGACCAGAAGTCCTTCCCGAGCAACAGCATGGTTCGCATAATCATCGTGTCGGATACACACGGCTTGCACGAAACCTTGAACATGCCCGCTGGAGATGTGCTCATCCATTGCGGTGACCTGGCAGATCGAGGGCATGTGGAGCACGTTCGCAGCTGCATTCGCTGGTTCAACTCGCTGCCCTATAATGAGATCTTTGTGGTTGACGGCAATCATGACTGCAGTATTCCCAGCAAGATGGCGCCAGGACAAGCAGTGTTGGACATACAGGCCGAATTCGAGAGACTCGCCGATCACAGCAAAGTCAAACTGCTACAAGATGATGCCGTTCTGTGTCACGAGGGGCAGCTTTGCATATTCGGAGCTTCCTGGGGTAGCTGTGAGGCCGGCGACTTTGCGAGGGTATACCAGACACAGTGCCCCATTGATGTCATGGTGGCCCATCACCATCCCCAGCTGCCCAGCAAAGATTTTCCGTCAGATTTGGAGCTCGGTGCATGGCAAGGCTCGGCACAGCTCACCAAGGTTGTTCTGAAGGCTCGCATTCCTCTTTGCTGCTCCGGGCACATTCACTGGGGCCGTGGCTGCGTGCCTCTGCGAAGACGGGGTGGCCTCTACAGCCATTTCGTAAACGCAGCGAATGAGAAGCCAGTCAAGAAACACAAAGGTGCAAGCGACAAGCATGCCCTGACGCCACCAGTAGTCCTTGATTACAATATTGCAACAAGGCAGGTCGAAAGGGTCCAATGTCCATCGCATCGAGATACTGGGATGCCCCAGTATGCCGGTGTTTTTGACAAGAGCCAGGTGGTAGTTTCCGAAACTGAGGGTATAATATAGTACCCTAAACAGTTGGATCCTTGTTATAAGGACCCCCAAATCAGGTACCCCTAATTTTCGTAAACTCCCAGGTGCTGGCCACTGAGGCCGATCGTCGGGCGGCTGCCATGCAGGCAGTCTACGACGATGCGCCGAGCAAGTCTCGCGTAACGGTGCATCTGTAGCCTTGTACAGACAAGCCTTGCAACAAGCCTTGTAATATAGGGGCCTTAATGTCTAACTAAGGCCCCTATTGTACAGAAAGATGCTTGTACCAGGCTACTGGATCCGCAAGAGGAGCTTGGGGGGTGCTTGGGCTTAGCTTAGCGTCGAGGCGTGGGGGGTTGACAGTATTTTCTGCTCATCTAGGAAATTTTTGCTGTACCTGATGCATACGATACTTCATTATCCTTGTGATGAGATGGTGGCACTTCCTCGTGATTCGCTGAAGTTGCTCGGTTGCGGCGCACTAGTGTCCATGGGAATTTGCCAAGATGCCCTTAAACTTAACCCTAAACCCTAAACAGTCTCGCATGCTGAACTGAAACGGGGTAGGGCTCAGGGCTCCACCACCAAGGCTGATCCGTCTTCCAAAAACCCTCCCCTCCGTAATGTCAATGTAGGAACCTTAATAGTTCGAATATAGGGTTTCGAGGCCCCTTATACTATATTTGTAATATGGAGCCCCCACAATGCATGATATTGGTAATTATTTAGGCCTCGAAGTTACTCCAGCAAGGGCCAGCAAGACTGATAGATTGTTTGATGTTAGGGCGAACTGTACCTCCGGATTCCGGAACTGTGAAGTCTAGAGGTTGACACGGGGAGAGAGTGTAGGTAAGAGTAGCCATCATGCTAGTGACAGCAGCAAGACTTCAACCACGACCACAGCAACAGCAGCCACAACACAACAAAACCAATAGCAATCACAACAACAAAAGCGTCAGTAATGATATTGATAAGAACGACAACACCAATGATATCAACAGATTCCCTAAACCCTAGACCCTGCTGATGCTTGCGGGCTTTCATCAGTCTGTGTCCGTCCCCGGCTCTCGAACAACCCAGAGATCCCAATACCCTTTCATTCAGGAATGTACCTGACACCAAAATTAAGCCCAGTATAATTTAAGGCATATTCCCCAACTAAAGGATAGTGGGATCTCAAAAAAGGTGCTTGTCAGCCTTGGCTGCGACCTTCAACGAGGAGCCGGCACTGTCGGACAACGGGGGCGGCGGGGTAGGGATAGGGTTTAGGGGTTATAATTTTGCAAGTTCGTAGGTTTAGGGTTTAAGGGTTTAGGGGTTTAGGGTTTAGGGTTTCGGAATTAGGGTTTAGGGCTTCAGGGTTTCGGAATTTAGAGTTTCGGATTTCGGATTTAGGGTTCAGCCGGTAGGTCCTGTGGAAGTCGCAACCAGAAGATACTACTCGCAAAGCCCACATTTGCGCCCACTTTACTTGGAGGGGCAGGGGACTTAGTAAGTAGGCTTTATGTAGAGTTGTAAGTACCCTAAATGGAGTTACCCCAATTATAAACCTACTTATAACCTACTTACTAAGTCCCCTGCCTCTCCAAGACTAAGTAGGTACCAAGTCTTTTCCACCTGGAGCGCCCCAGGTTTTCATGTTCGCTTTAAATGGGAGTTTCCGAAAATAGGACTACCTTATTTTGGAATCCTTATAATACGGATCCTACTATTTAAGGTACTGTTTTGGGGTCCCTATTTTCGGAACTCCCAAATGTTGGGAATGAAGCATGAGACGGCACTCGCCTCCCAATGCATCGGCGAGGGAAAAGTTCTTTACGCGCAGTAGCAGAAAGTACAGCAATAGCCCTGGTTTGTGCCCTGACACCTTGACACCCTACGGAGGGATCGAACCCCGAATTGCTGAGCCTATAAAACCTCAACCGCCTTCGCACAATCCTAAACCCTCAGCCACTTCACCTCGACTTCCCGAAACATTAAACCCTGAAGCCTTAAACCCCTAGCCCCAAAGCCCTTTTTTTGATTCTTTTTCCCAGGAGGTGATTCAGGAGGTCGGCGAGATCTTGGGAGAGGACCTTCGGCCGCAGTAGAGGAAACCGATCAGGCTTACCATAACTGGCACGATAGTAGCAATGAGAAAAACTTTGATTATAGAAGCAGTACTAAAGGCAGTAAGAGTATCAATCAAGCATTTTAATAATTGCAATAGCAATGACAATATCAGTGATAGCTGTATGCTTTTCAATCCTAGTAGTAACCAAAAACAACACTAATGACGGCACAAATGAAAACAATGACAATGAAGGCATAGACGAGAAACCACACCGAAATGTCCAAGTTCGATGAATGTTTGCTGTTCAGGTTTCAGGCTTTAGAATGCCAGATCCTGACCTAGGTCTGAGGGTTTAGAGTATGAAGGTTGTAAAAAGCGTAGGCTTTAGTATAGACTTTTAAATCTAGATTTTAGAGTTTCGAGTTTAGGGTTCAGAGTTTGCAATTTAGAGTTTAGGGTTTCTGCTGAACCGGTGCGTATGGCCCTTTACTTAGCCATAATGAAGCCATAACCCCTAGCATCGCTTGCGGATTTATATCATCAACCGTATGAGGGGTTCCTTTGCGTGTTTCTTTGGGAGTTGCTGTCCCTAAGGCTCCATGTAATTACCCATATAGTAGGTGCTTAGGCCTTAATGGGATCACTACATGGGTACTTTAAGGCTTAAGCACCTACTATATGGGTACATGGAGCCTTTGGGTGTGCTTTTCCAGGAGTGCGTGGCTCGCGGCGCGAATGTCCTCCTCGGGCCGACTTTGAACATTCATCGGACCCTTAGCGCTTCCTTTATGGCTTCCTTCAAGGGCTCCTTGAAGGGCTCCTTTAAGGTTTTTGTTTTTAAGGGTTCCTGCAAGGGGTTTCTTTAAGGGCTCCTTGAAGGGCTCCTTTAAGGGTTCCTTTAAGGGGGTTCTTGAAGGTTTTCTTCCGGAGTCCCTCTAGGGGTTTGGTTGCAGAGTTTCGGGCCGAGGGGTTAGAAAAAAGATATACTTGGACTTGGAGACTGCAGTATCCCCGTTATCAGGCATCTTCCCGAATTAAGGGTCCAAGTGCCCTGATTCATGGTATCCTAGGGCTCGAAGGACTCATGTATTAAGGCTTTCGGTCCCAAAGACCATACTGGGCTGTTTTGATGCCCAGGGGTAGATGGTTGGGCCTTCCAGGAATCAGTTGCTACGTAACTAGTTCTTCCTAGATGAGGCACTTGGATCTTGAGCGGGATGGGATGACGTCTGACGGCTGCAGAGTCCGCGACCGGTACTACGGTTGATGATATAAATCCTGCATTACCTGAAGGACCCGAAACTATGGGAATTATGGTAATTCCTCAATATGGGTAATGCAGGTTGTATATCATCAACAGTAGTATGACATGCTGCTGCACCTGTCTGGCCTTTTCTACGTATTGAGTCCCTGCTCCGAACATCGGTCCGGCTTGCGGCAGGACCCCCATCACGGGCCGACATTTCGAGTGCTTCTCAGAGGCCTGGCCTGTGCCTTACCTAGAAGTCGAGTAGGTAACCTTTAACCAAAAAATCCCCCAAATCACACCTCGTCCGTTGCCGGCCTGCTTCCCACAACACTTCTGAGCTTAATTCGCAAATTCGCGAAGCTCGTCTCACGCCTTTCGCTGGGGACGCAGCTTATTCCACGTCGCGCTTTAACCTTTTTTGGGGTAGTATAGTCCCTATATATTCCCTATATAACCAAAAAGGATAACCTTTAGTTCCCCATGATACCCGACAAGTAGGTTTATTTAAACTTAACCCCTAAACCCTCAAATCCTAAGCTAGACTCTCTAACCTCACATCCTCATTAAGGTAATGCAGGATTTGTATCATCAACCGTATGGTAGGTTCTGAGTAGCTATTTGGACCCCCAAAGTATAGCGCAAGTAAGTGCCAATATAGTAGGTTCTTAGTCGATATTCGAGTAGATATTTGGACCTCCAAAGTATAGTTTAAGTGCCGATCTAGTAGGTTCTCAATATTCGGACCTTTCAGACGTGTGGGTGGTTGTCAAAATTATGGTACCTTTTTGGGTCCCTATTATAATACGGCACCTAATATGTAAGGTACCCAAAGAGGGACCCTAATTTTGACAACCGCCCATGTACCAGACTGTTCCTGTTACCCCTTGGCGATGGCTCTTTACCGGTTCCGCCCAAGGGATACTGAAGGCCCCGAAACCTAGGGTCGGGGGTTCAAGGTTTAGAGTGGACTAGGCTACAAGGCTTTAGGGTTTAGGGTTCGGGTTCTGGCTGTCCTCTTCCCAGAGACCCTTGCTTGTTAGTGCTATTATGAATGTGATTTTGATTCTGCTTGTTCTTATTATTACTGTATGTATGTATCATTATTCTTGTGCTGTTGTTGCTTATGATATTAGCAGGACCCCCACCTCACGGCGCGCGCAGCCGTGGCCTATGTGCGTGGGGTGCAGAAATACTCCGCTGCCTGTGTGAGCCTTGCCGGTGATTTCAACACCTTCTAGTAGAGCTGGTGTTACTTGGGAGTTTCCGAAAATAGGGGACCCTAATAGAGTACCCTAAATAATGGGATCCTTATTATAAGGGGCCCCAAAATAAGGTGGCCCTAACTTTCGGAAACTCCCACTTGTCTGTGGCTTTAATTGTTGTTCGTTGTTTTGCAGGCTGAGGTTTGAGGGGTCGAGGGATGGTTTAAGGCTGTTGGCTTCTAGGTTTTTGTTGTTTGAACTTCAAGGTTCCTCGCTAGGGTTTAGGGTTTAGGGTTTAGGGTTTAGGGTTTAGGGGGGACAGCGGCAATTACATGACTCAAGACAGACTTGCAAATCTGGAAATTAGCGCTATGAGTAATAGCTGAACTTTGCCGACTTAGCCTCCTTACACCGACAACTCTAGGACCTGTAGCAGAAGAGAAAACGTCCATTTTGCGATCGCTGTGGCATTGCATGGATTTTTCACAACACTATTTCCGGTAACGTTGCTGATACTTCATGATCTTCGTAAATCGTGAAAACATCTGTTCTGAACTAATTAATGTCCGTGTTAAGTCCCACACTGCAGGAAAGGATAGGAGTCCTTCTGACCACGAGCCAATCTGCTAACTGAATGGGAAACTGTCAATCCGAGAACAAGCATGTCTTCTGGGTTGGCGGCGAGTGTGTTGTGAATCATTGCAGACCATCGAACACGGCCGCAAAAGCTTAAGCCTTGCAGTCTTACACTCTAAAGCCCGAATCCGGTAGCTAGTGGCATTGAGTAGGTAGGAGCATCTCACCCTACCCTAGTTCAACAGGTCATTTTGGGGGGATAGGGTACTCAGCCCTGAGATAGTTATTGAGGCCCCGATCATACTTGGAGGGGCAGGGGACTCAGTAAGTAGGTTATAAGTAGGGTTATAATTGCGGTAACTCCATTTAGGGTACTTATAACTCTACTGATGACATACTTACTAAGTCCCCTGCCCCTCCAAGTACATAACACAGGAAGCACTTGGTCGGCAACGATCAGGAAGCAGACCCTTGGCTGGGACAGTTCCGGCCTTCAAGTATTTAAAAGGGCTTCCAAAAAGGGTTTCAGGGTTTGAGGGTTTAGGGTTCAGGGAGGGTTGAGGGGTTAGGGTTTAGGGTTCAGGGAGGGTTGAGGGTTTAGGGCTTGAGGGTTTAGGGTTTAGGAGGGGTTTAGAGTTCAGGGTTTGAGGGTTTAGGGTTTAGGGGTTTTTGGGTTTGAGGGTTTAGGGTTTAGGGTTTGGGAGGGGTTCCTTTAAGAGGTTCCAGCAAATCGCAAATGTTGCTTTAGCAGGCGAGCGCCGCCGCTGTGTAGGGCTTGTTCTAGGGAATCCCAAACCCAACTGTTTTGCCGAAATAGTCCGAGGCTTGCTGTTTAGGGTGTGTATGTATGTGGGTAGTTGTCAAAATTATGGTCCCTTTTTGGGTACCCTAAATACTAGGTGCCGTATTATAATAGGGACCCAAAAAGGGACCATGATCTTTAGCAACCACCCATGTGTCTGTGTGTGTGTGTGGGGTTTAGGAACGCCTCAAGCACTGACCCCCAAGCCGCGCCCTTCCCACCAAATCGCAAGTCCCCAGCCGTCTACATCCCGAAAGCCCTCAGGGTTGTAGAAGAAGTGATAATCTCCTCTGACAGTACTTCTTCGTCCCAACATCTACGCGGGAATATACCTCAGAAAGGCTTGCCCCATGTTCGGGATTGCGGGTCCTCAGTTTTTTCTAGCCGTGCTCCCTACAGTTTCATTATTGGGCTTCGGAGGGGTCGGCATTTCATCATCGATTTGGGGTTAGATGTAGCTTTGACAGTGCACACAATTAGCGAAAGGTCCTACAGCCAAGGTAAGATCCCCGAAGTCATTCAACTAAGAAGGATTCTCAGGCTTGACTAGCCCGAAGACCCCACAAGTCGCGGCATCGAATGCCTTCCACCAAACCAGATCCGTGCATCATCAGCACCTCCCTTCGTCCTTGGCAAAGGATCGCGGGCACTCCAACTCTGTCATACCGGAGCGGGTGCTACACGAGGCTTGCTGTGGGCACTAGTCTTATCCTGGCACAGCGGGTCGAAGGGAACGGGCCTGAAGTTCCTTCAACAGATATTTGAAATTCCTCTCCAGAAGGCTTGTAAAAACCCTAACCCTGGAAACCTTGCAGCCCCTGAAGGTCCAGGTGCCCAAATAGTAAATACATTGTCCCCAAAGTATATAGGGACTACTCTCCAGAAGGCTTGTATACTCAAGCTTACGGGGAAGTTTCACGATCAACTACGAACAACTAAGCAATAAGCAGTCCCGGAAGCACTCTGCCTGCGTCCCTGTGCCAGTGTGGTATTTATGGTATTCACTTCAGCTGCGCAGGGGCCAATGCATATACTCTATGGGTCAGAGGGCGGACCCTTTGGGAATGGAGGGTCGAGCATGAGCATGTACTTCGTTATGCACGGATGCAAAGGCAAATGCCGGGTCTGCGCGATGCATTTGGCTTAAGGTCTAGAATTTCCTAGACGCGAAAGCCGTAAAAATCCTGACCCCTAGAAACCTTACAGCCCCTGAAGGTCCATGCGCCCAAACAGTAAATACATTGTCCTCAAAGTATATAGGGACTACTTTCAGGCCAAAGTATATGCTATTTGGGTACATGGACCCTGGTACCCTACAAACCCAGACCTTCCAAAACCCCTTAATTATGCAATATACCTTAAATTCTAGTAGGATCCCTAATATGATTTAAGGTATATTCCTTAACTAAGGGGTTTTGGGAAGGTCTGGGTCCCAAACCCTACAGGCCCCTTTATGGTAGCGTTATAGAACCCCTAGAAGGAGCCCCTAAAGGCTCTTGGGTACCACGGTTTAGGGTTTAGGGTTTAGGGTTTGGGGTTTAGGGTTTAGGGTTTGGGGTTTAGGGTTTAGGGTTTAGGGTTTAGGGTTTGGGGTTTGGGGTTTAGGGTTTAGGGTTTGGGGTTTAGGGTTTAGGGTTTAGGGTTTGGGGTTTAGGGTTTGGGGTTTAGGGTTTAGGGCACGCTTGGGAGCTGATAAGCTGCTGGAGATCCTGTGGAACACAACGACGCCAGAGGGCCCATACATACTGCAAGTATGGAATTAGATCCCACAAGGCCGTTCTTATACTGGTTTGGGGGGACCTAATTCCATGATAGTAGTATATACCTATTTCTGTAGTAATTAGTAGTATATGCCTAATTCTATAATCGTCGTGTATACCTAACTATGTCATAGTAATAGTAGTATATACCTGATGTAGTATATACCCAATGCCATAATAGTAGTTTCTACCGAATATTCCAAAATAGCAGTATATATGGCCCTTCTTGGGACGCCAGGTCTATCTCCAACCATTCGAGGCTGCCATCCGCGAAGCGGATGCTCAAGCCGTGATGCAGCCTGGCTTTATGGTCTGATTGTTTAAGGGTTTTGGGGTTTAAGTGTCTCGGGGTTTTATAGGGGTTTAAGGAATTAAGGGTTTATGAGTCGTGGGGTTTAGGCGCCTATCGGTGTCGGGGTTTAAATAGTTTAGGGGTTGAAGGGTTTAGGGGTTGAAGGGTTTAGGGCCTAGGATTTTAGGGTTCGGGGTTTAGGGTTTAGGGGTGCAGGGGGCAGGATGGTTCACCAAACTGTAAGAGCCCAGTTACGTGACCACTACCTGAATAAGGGGTGCAAGGGCGACAAGCCACTTCGCAGGGGCGATAAGCCACTATGGGTACAGGTGGGAACACTCATAAAGTGCCCACTAGTCTACATCTGGATATGATATTATGAGCTACTCGGAGCCCGTAGAAGACCTCGCAAAACCTGCACGGAACCCCTGTAGACCCTTATAGACTAATAGAACCCTACTAGAGAACCCCTACTGACAAAGTACTTATGGATTCTGGGATGCAACCCTAAGCCCTACACCCTACTTGGAAGGGCAGGGGACTTAGTAAGTAGGTTATAAGTAGAGTTATAATAAGGGGGATACCTAAAACCCTAAACCCCAAATCTGAGAACAGTTGTGCCTGTAGTGCGTAAGCCAGATCTTGGCAGGCTGGACCGAAAAGTCAGTACACATTAAAAGGAAAGCCTCAATACTTTGAGCAACCCTAAACCCTAAACCCTCCCTAATGAGGGAACCTCAAAGGCCTGGCTACAATCGTCTCAACGGCACCTACTGCGCCGAGAACGCGAAGCTTCTGCAGGTGCCAAGCCCTGATCCTGAAGGACGAAATGAACCCTAAAAGGGTTTAAGGTTCATATACCATTATAGGGGTTCATAGTATATGGGTATAGGGCCCCTGCATTTCAGGGTCATTTGGTCCTTCAGGATTACCCATAGGGCCCCAAGAGGGCGTTCCTTTAAAGCTTTCAGGGCTCTCTTACAAGCTCCTCTTGAAGGGTTCCTGAACAGAATTCAGTGGGCTATAAGGTACCAATGGGCTCCATCGGCTCCATAGTAGGTCCGTCTTGGGGTTCATATTTAGAATCCTATAAGGTAATCCCCAAAAGGAACTACCATGGAGCCTATGCTTAGACCTGAACCCAGACCTGCCAAAACTATCTCAATTAAGGAATATCCCCAATGTGACAAAAGGTATATTCCGTAATTGAGGGATTTTGGAAGTTCTGGGAACATGAGTTTAGGGTGCAAGGTGTAGGATTTGGGGGTTTGAGGCTATGGGTGTAGGCTTTGCAGGAGGAGGGCTGGGTTCAGGCAGCAGGCTTCAGGGTTTGAGGTTTAGAGTGTATAGGTTTATAGGGTTTACTTGGAAGGGCAGGGCACTTAGTAAGTAGGTTATAAGTAGAGTTAGAAGTACCCTAAATGGTGTTACCCCAATAATAACCCTACTTATAACCTACTTACGAAGTCCCCTGCCCATCCAAGTAGGGTGTCGTCGTCGGGGTTTTGCCATTTGGCCTTCGAACCACTTTCTCGATCTTCGAACCCCATAAGATCCCAGCTAAAACCTCCAAAGCTCTAACTCCTAGACCCTAAACCTTAAACCCGAAGCCCACAAACCTTAAGAGCTCTAAACCTCAAACTCGGTTTAAGGTTTAGGGGTTTAGGGGTTTAGGGTTTAGCGCTAAGTCCTCTACCCTACTTCTCAAACCAGAGCTCAGTCGCCCCAGGCCACGTTGCGAGACACCTGGGGCTTCAAAGGCCTCATCGTCTCTGACTGGTGGGCCAACAGAACGACTCTGAAGGACAGGGGGTGTACTTAAAGGATCATGGGACTTAGTAACTGGGGTTATTATAATTAGGGTAACTATACTTATAAGCCCAATTAAGGTACTTATAACCTTACTTACTAAGTCCCATGATCCTCCAAGTCGTGTTGCTGTGGGTTGGTTGTCAAAATTCTAGTCCCTTTTTGGGCACCCTAAATATTATGTGCCGTACTATATCAGGGACACAAAAGGGGATCCTAATTTTTACAAACGCCCACATGACTCATGACCTTCTTCAGAATTTTACGTAGGGTTTAGTAAGACTCTTTGGCTTTCCCACACCCTGGCCGCCATTTCATGTTTCGCCTCAGCTTATCGGGAAATAGCCGAAGACCGCGACCAGAAACCAGATGACACCAAAGGTTTAGCATTTCGGGTGCGGCGACCTTGCCGACGACCTCGAACGAAGCCCAAATCCGGGACGAGGGTACTGTCGGGATGTTGAATGCTTCTAGAAGCTGATGGAGGATGGATAGACGCCCACACCAGTGCAGATAGACTCCTCAACAGATACCAATACTACTCGTTCTGGTTCTATAGTAGCATAATATACCTCAAACTCTCGTCCTTTTCTATGTTGTCAATGATAGTCACCATACAACATGATCAGGAATATGTGGTAATGGGTAGCTCATGGTAGGGTAGTACAGGCATGGTCCATGAATCCCACGTTTTGCCTCGACGCCGCGAAAAACCAAAGCCCTTAGTCGGGACTCCCCAAGACTCAAAGTTCAGCCTGAAGCCCTACTTGGAGGGGCAGCGGACTTAGTAAGTAGGTTATAAGTAGGGTTATAGTTGGGGTAACTCCATTTAGGGTACTTATAACCTACTTATTAAGTCCCCTGCCCCTCCAAGTAAGCCCATAAGTCTGAAAGACTACTCCCTGAAACTCTCAGTGTCAAGTAGCAGGCTCTAGAGTGGTTTGCGAGGAGTGACGCTAGGGTATGGAGAAGTGTTCCCTGACATAGGCGCACCTCAAACTATATGAAAAGAGCAGATCAGCCCCTCATCGTCCAGCACTACATAAGCAAGCTGCACAGGGCCTTCTTCAAGCCCATTCTGTTAAGATAGCCCTCAGATGCCGTGAGCTTCAAGCCCTGACTTCCCTAAGCCTGAAAGCAACCCTAAACTTACTTTTGGTTTGTAGGGAATGGAGGAATGGGGTACAATTTTAACTACGATTACTACCATTCTTCCATTCGCTACTAACCAAAGGTAAGTAAACCCACCAAAGGCGCTCGAAGCGGGCTTGAACGTGGAGATGCCCGGGATCGAGCCGCGCTACTTCGGAGGTTGCTGTGCGTCCCAAGGAAAGTTTAGGGTTTTGGGTTTAGTGTTTAGGGTTTAATTCGGGTTTAGGGGTTTACGATCAAGGGGTTGAGTGATGAGGGGCTGGAGGGCCCTAAATAAAAACCCAAAGCCGTAAACCTTAAACCCTAGGGACCCGAAACCCAGAGGTTTAATCCCAAAACTTTAAGTTGTAAGGAGAACTACATATCCAGATCGGCAGGAGATTAGGTTCTCTTCCCTTGCAACAAAGAATCTCTGAGTTTGCGATGACACTAAACCCTAAACCCTATATTCCGAAACCCCAAACCCTGAACCCGAAACCCTAAACCCTAAACCATATAATAACGGCTCAGCCTGTGATGGCTGGGGTCTGGCTGTTTACTTCGTTTTTCCTCCCTGCAAGCGGAGGTGCATAAGAGGGCTAGATTCTCCTGACCCAGGGGGTCTTTCGTCGACGGCTTGCACCTTAGGCGGAAAAGGGAGTTCAACAAAATATGTAATAAAGCTGAACTCTAAACCCCCGCCCAAACCGTTAACCCACAAGCTCCCCAGCTCTTCCTTCTTGTTTTATCTATGCTGCAATCCTCTACTTGGAAGTTACTAAGTAGGTTATAAGTAGGTTGTAATTGGCGTAACTCCATTTAGGGTACTTATAACTGTAGTTGTAACCTACTTACTAAGTCCCCTGCCCTTACCCCAAACCGTCTTCGGTGTCCGTCCACCATGGGAGCTCTGGTGTTTGCGTTGTCCCTGCACTCTTCAGTTTTTGTTGGCGGTACTGGTATGTACTACTTTTCTTACCGGGGGTTTCGGGTTTAGCCTACAATCTTCAGTTTGTTGGTGGTACTGGTACTACTTTACTGTCCAGGGGTTTAGGGTTTAGGATTTTTGGTGGTATTGGCACTACTCTACTAACCATGGGTTCAGGCTTTAGCATTTTTGTGTGACATTTCCTTACTTGGGGTTCGGGGCCCCAGTGGGGTTTTCTGGGCGGTGTAGGGCCAGGGCCTTCGGGACGTTTTGTTTTTTCCGGTATGGGGCCGAACCCTAGGGATCTAAGGACTCATATATTAAGGTTTTTGGACCCCAAAACGATGCTACATAAGGCTTTTGGGCTATGTTGATCCCCATGGGTAAGAGGATCTTATATAAGACTTTGCTTGAAAGACTGTAGAGAGCCAAGCTAGCTTTGTGATTAATGGTTACTTGGAGGGGCAGGGGACTTAGTAAGTAGGTTATCAGTAGAGTTATAAGTGCCCTAAATGGAGTTACCCCAATTATACCCCCACTTATAACCAACTTACTAGGTCCCCTGCCCCTCCTAGTAGACCCTAAACCCTAAACCCCATAGATCCCTTTAAGGAGCCCTATAGATCCCTGTAAGGAACCCTATAGATCCCTTTAAGGAGCCCTTTAAGACCCCTTACTTACTAAGTCCCCTAGAGCCCCTCCAAGTAGGACTTGTGACTCGAGGATCCTACAAGAAAGAACTACCTGAAACCCTCAACCTGAAAGTGAGATTGGGTTTAGGGTTTAGGGTTTAGGGTTTAGGGGTTAGGGTTTAGGGTTTAGGGTTTAGGGTTTAGGGGTTAGGGTTTAGGGTTTAGGGTTTAGGGTTTAGACCGAAATCAGAAAAACCCTAAACCCTACCCTAAGGCTCCCAAAGGGGTCATGGGCTTTCTGGGGGAAGGGTTTAGGCTTTGGGGGCGAAGGTTTGGGATCTCACTACGAGGGTCCAGGAGCCTTAGGGTAAACCTTAAATCCTAAACCCCTAAACCCCAGGCTATCTTCTGGACAAGGTGGCATTGCTTCTTGCAGGGAGCTGGGCAGTGAGGGTTTTTTTCCCACGGATCCGTGTACCCTAAAAGCATACACTTCCGCCCTAAAGTACCTATATAGGGACTACTTCAGGGCCAATGTATATACATGGACCCTTGGCGTTTGTTTTGTTGCCGAGGGGCGTATCTTCGGATCACAGAGCCCTTAGAGTTCAGGATGTTCCGGTTTAGGGTTTAGGGCCGCGCAGGGGGTTAAGTTATGGTCTTAGAGTTTCGGATGTCTGGTTTTGTGGCTTGTGGTTGAGGTTCGACCTAGAGTAAAGCAAGGCTCGACAAAAGTAGAAATCGACCTGCAGTTTGGGGGTCGTTCGGTAAAGGTGCAGCCTTTGTCGTTGCCCTAAATGATTACCAACTAATACTACTTGGAGGGGCAGGGGACTTAGTCTGTGGGTTATAAGTAGAGTTACAAGTACCCTAAATGGAGTTACCCCAATTATAATCCTACTTCTAACCTACTTACTAAGTCCCCTGCCCCTCCCAGTATGCATCAACCCTGCAACGCCGTAAACTCCCGAACCCAAGCTCTGCAAGGCCCGAAATGGTGAAGTCTCCGAGAAGCTTTTAGACGAGCGCTGCCGGCCGCTCTTGCGCACCTTGCGGCGCTACCCACGCCCAGGCGCGCGAGAGACTTGAGGGTTAATCTACCACCTGGACCCTATAATTATTCTGTAGCAATACTTGTTTGTGGCGACCTATTGCTTGGTTAGGATCCTATGATAGTAAACTCAGGCAACCTAGCAAGGACAAATTACTACTTTGGGGATCTGGGTAATCTAAGCGTCATACCTAGATCAGAGTTTTGAAGGGTATATGTGAAAGGTTTTTATACGGTCGTAGGATATGGGTCTTCAACAAGTAGACAGGGTCTGGCGGTATGGTATTTTCTCAGAGAACATCATTATCGACTAGTAATTCTGATTCCGAAATAAGACGGAGATCTAGGATTAGATGTCCGGTATGCAGGGCGTGGCAGTCCAGAGGAAAATGTTTGCCCCTCAAGATTCCCGAGTACATCGTCCCGAGTACATCGTTACAATGTACGAGACTGATAATAAGGATCGGTATGGATCCGTATCAAAGACCGAAAGGGAGCTTGGACCCCTTGAAGCCTATGCCCGAAACCTGCAAAGCCTCTAATCCAAAAGCCCTTTAACTTTTCTATAAACTCTTAAATAAACCTTTCCAAAGTCCAATAATACAAAACATCTTCCAGAAAACCTTTCAGCAAGGTTAGCCCTACAAAAGCCTAGAATATAAAGCGTTCTAAAGAAGCCTCTAACACATATATTTGCTTTCAAGGTCTTCAATAGAAATCCAAAAGCCCCTGAAGCCTTAACTTTTCTATAAGCCCTTATTAAAACTTTCCAGAGTGCTATACTATGTACGTATAATCTTCGCAATAAGTCTTTTGGCAAATCCTATCAAGCTTTCTAAAGAAGCCTTTGACACAAATATTGGCTCTGAAGATCTTCCAAACCCTAAACTTCAAAACCCTAAACGTTATTCAGGTCGAGACTCGGGTGCCTCCTTGGCGCCAGCCGTTGGCCGAAGGAAGGCCGCCTTCGCCAAAGCGGCGAGGGAGTCTTTGGCCCCGTGACTATGGGACCCAAAACTTCCAAAATCCCTTAACTCAGGAATATACCTTAAATTTTATATTTAAGGATCCAACTATAATTTAAGGTATACTGCCTAATTACGGGATTTTGGAAGGTCTGGGGACTATGGGCTGGGGATTAAACAAGAGGTCGTCGGTTTTGAGTTTAGGAGTTTAGGGTGTAGCGGTTTATCGATTTTAGGGTGTGCTTGCGTTTCTCGGGTTGGGGTTGGGTTCTCCTGAGTCGTAGTTATAACCTTAAATAGAAACTTACTCATGCCTTAGTTACCAAGTCCCATGAGCCCTTTAAGTAAGAGACCTCCAGAATCATTATAGGGCGCTTGAGTAGTTGTCAATACTTATTCCGTTGGACGTGCCTAAGTGAAGTCCCGAGAGTCCATCACAGAAGAAAAGAAAAATACTAATCCGTATTCTTTAAGGGTTCCTCATCATATTCTTTTCTAGAGTATTCACTAAAACCTGTTCTAATCGGTTTTAAGATCCCTATATCATTCAAACTCTTGGCTCCCGAATGCGTTGCAGCTCTACAGCCTTTATGCCCCAGGCTCAAAGGGGGTGGTTGTCAAAATTAGGGTCCCTTTTGAGCACCCTAAATACTAGGTGCCGTATTATAAGGATTCAAAAAGGGACCCTAATTTTGACAACCACCCATTTGTTGATCCTCGACCGCCAAAGGCAAGTAGCTAGAACGATAGCTATGTTACAGACATTGAAACCCTTGCAAGTAAGCCCTTACTCGCACTCACCTGTCTTCCTCACAGCCTATAGGAGCTAAAAACATGCAGCTGACCAGCAGGAACCTTGTCTTTCATTTTTACCACACTGCTGTCAACGACACTCAGGTCCTTCTGAAGAATGCTAAACTCTAAACCCTAAACCCAGACACTCAGATGCTTCTGAAGAATACTAAACCCTAAACCCTAAACCCAGACGCTCAGGTGCTTCTCAAGAAAAACAAACCCTAAGCCCAGACACTCAGGTGCTTCTGAAGAATACCGGCGCGCTGCCGCTGCAACCGGCAAAGCTCCGGCGATTGGCGCTTATCGGTCCTGCTGCAGCGAAGTGATCCGGCGAAAGGGTTGAGGGGTTTAGGGTTTAGGGGTTCAGGGCTTTGGGTTTAATTTAGGGTTTAGGGTTTGGGGCTTAGAGTTCAGGGTTTTACCTGGGCTCGACAGTTTCGTCTTATAGGATCCTAACCATAAGACAGTAGGTTATCCAAACAAACATTCACGGGTCTTGGTAGTTCTTCGGGCCTGCGTGCCTTGTGGTTCGAGGTCGGGTTTTTTAGAGACAATTTCCGTTGACTCTGTTGCCGACGCTGCTGTTGCAAGGTCTCTCCTTGTAAGGCTTGGCGGAAATCTCAAACCCAGGTTAAAGTTGAAAACACAATGATATAATCAAGAAAAATGCGGTTGGGCCGAGTCTCCACTTCAGTTCGGCCTTGCATGTAAACATAAAGACCCTGAAGGGAGCACGTTGTTTGTCTTTGCAGGGGTTTGTGTCTTTGCAGCCTCAGATTTCAGAAGACTCGTGTGTGGAGTACCATACTTGAACACTTTGTTTAGTTCCTGTTCCTGAAAGGAACCATCATGAAGTAAAAGCCTATACTTTTGTTCTCCCTGGTTACTTCAAAGTCCAGGAAGGAGCTTGCGAGTCGCACTCACGAGAAAGTGAGCTCCTGAATCGCCGCTGCGCCGCTGCCCCGAACTTTTCAGCACAGCGAGCACTTAGATGATCATGGGACTTAGTAAGTAGGTTATAATTGGGGTTATAAGTCCCCTAACTGGGGTTATCCCAATTATAACCTACTTATAACCTTACTTACTACGTCCCATGAGCCTTCAAGCATTGCAGCATGCGAACCCTGCCGCTCCAAGTACCCAACACACCTATCATAATATACTCCGCCTAATTATTTTTAACATGCACCACTACTACCCTAAAGCCAAGTACCGAATTTGGGCCCTTTGGACCCTTCGGGGAGCTTACGGTGGCCCCAAGAGCGTTGCAAGGACCACCATCCAGGGTGGTGGAAGCTGCCAAGCTGAACTTAAGCTGCGAGCGGACCCCTCTATATGCAAGGGTTTAGGGGTTTGAGGGTTTGAGGGTTCAGGGGTTTGGGGCTTTAGGGCTTAGGGCTCAGGGATGTTCAGGGGTTCGGGGTTCAGGGCTTTTTAGGGTTTAGAGGTTAAGGCCTTCGAGGAATCAGGCTTGTGGGATAGAGTGTATAACATTGTATTATGACTATACCGCCACCAAAATGAAAAGGTATGCGATTACCAATTGTTCCAACCTCTTGAATTCATTACCCCTAGCCCGAAACCCGCGACTCTAATTGAACCCCGGACCCTAAGCCCTTTTGCTTAACCCGAAACCCTATGAACTAAGAACCTGCAATACGTAACTCAGAGCAGGTACTGATAGCTGTCGCCCCATTTCCTTACCTGGACCATATAAAGCCTTCCTCTCTAGGGCTCCCTAGTATGATTTCCTTACATGAGGCCGTAAAGAGGTAGGTTCTTTGGTCAAGGTATTCACCGTTAGAGCGCATCCCATCAGTTTGAGGATTTTCGGTCACGTTTCTACTGGGGGATTTTCGGGTTGTTGAGTTTATAGTGTTGAGGGGTGTAGGTCTCAGGGTTTCGGGTTATAGAGTTGGGATTTTCGGCTGCTAAGCTGGGGTGTATGGTTTGGGGTGTTGGGGGCAGGGTTGTAGAGATTGGGGTTGAGGGTTTATATAGGGTCTGCCCTGATGCAAGATATGTGAACAGCACGGTCATGGTCAGCAGCAGTAGCAGCATATCGACCCATTTGCCGTGCTACCTTGCTCTTCGCTGACAAAAAGTCGGCTCATAGCCGATCGTAGTGTTAGGAGTGCTGCACACCATTTCATGCAGCCTGGACATTGTGTTTAGGGATTACAGTTCGAGGCATATCATACAGGTTACGAGCTTGCATGTCCCACATTGCATTTCTGGTTTGTCGGCGCCTTTCGCTGTTGCAGGTACCTCTGTTTCCAGTTTCTCTAGTTGTTTTGCCTTGTGCACTTGTGGGGAAAGTATCTTCTCAGTATCGAAAGAAGTCGTCTGAAGTCCAGAAGCCTCCAAAACCTTAAACATACAGGGTCCAAAGTACAAGGAGTAGAATGTGGGGTTCCTGTCTCAGGAATTAATGTTATGAGTTGGGGAAGTATCCCCCATGACAGTACCCGGGACCCTTCAGGGAACTAAAGCTTCACCGTGGGCTCAGTGGAGGCAGCCGCGTTCATTGTGGACGAAGCCAAAGCATCCTCGATGCTTTCCGGGAAGCTCTGACAGGAACCGGGGTGGAGCCTCTTGGATGCCACTTCCAGACTCCTGTAAGATACAAGAATGGCAACAACCCTAAGGGTCCATGTACCCAACTACGATATACCTTGGCCCCAAAGTGCCTATATAGGGGACGAATTACTTTTAAGTCAAGGTATATACTATTTGGGTACATGGACCCATTATAACGAACGAAATGGATCATAATATGAGTATTCTGACGACACAGATGATCATATACAGCGTAAGAGTAGTTTGTAGCAAGGGTAGCAGGAAGTATCCCTTGAGTTAAGGCCTCGTGATACCTTTTCCCCAGACGAATCTAAAGCCCTAAACCCTAATATGGAAACCTTACAAATTCCCTGTGCTATTTTTGTTGTTCCGTATTCTAACTATAGTATACTGGGCCCCCAAACCCTAGTCTAGTTATTAAGGCCCCTATATTCACCCCTGAAGGCCTGGGTTTTCCTTTGGGAGCTGGGCTGGGGGCTGGGGATGGGCTGGGCTGGTGGGGCTGGGCTGGGGCGCTGGAAGGGCCCTCAAAGACCGTTCAAAGCCCTGGCGAACCCTGAAATCCCTTCAAATACCTTACTCTACCTTCAAGGAGCCTTAGATCCTACCTCCTACCCCATTATAACCCCTAACCTGTAAAACCCCCTGAGCCGCAAACCCCAAACCTAAATCCCTAAGCCCTACCCCCTAAACCCCTATAGTACCTTATAGTGTCCTTGTAGAGCCCTTTTTCGGAAGCCTTACTTTAGGGGCACCTTGAGCCCCCAGACCCTAAACCCCTAAACCCTAAGCCCTAGACCCTAAACCCCTAAACCCCTAAACCCTAAACCCCTAAACCCCTAAACCCCTAAACCCGAAAGCCTAAACCCCTAAGCCCCTAAACTAAACCCTACTATAAAGGCTGGTGCATGAGAGCGGATGCTTCCTCGGCGAGCGCCCCACAAAGAATCCTGAGCTCGAAGGCCTCAAAAGGCGGCGGGAGCTCAACAGGTTTCGGGCTTTCCTTTTTAGGGTTCCTTTGAGGGTTTAGGGATTAAGGTTTAGGGTTCCTCTAAGTTTGGTATTTAGGGTTTAGGGGTTTGGGGTTTTGGGGGTTAGGTGTTTCGGGTTTAGGGTTTCGTGTTTTTTTGTTTAAGGGTGTTGGGGGTTAAGGGTTTTCCTAAGGGTGTCTATAAGGTTCCGGGAAGGATCGGATTTGGGGTGCAGAGTGGTTTCAAGAAGGCCGTTATGGGCTGTGTGAGGAGGGTTTCATAATCATAGAACCCAAAACCCTAAACCCAAAACCCTAAACCCTAAACCATGTAGGGTTTTAATGTTGGCGCTGTAGGTTTTACAAGGGTGTACTAAGCTTGCTGAGGGGCTTCATATTAGTTTAGAAGTGATTGTAGATAAACAACAAGTTGATAAGGTTCAGGGATGTTCAGGGTTTGCATTTAAGTGTGACCATCAGACTTACTCTAGCAGATTAGGGTTAGTAGCAGGGCATCAGGGATAACCACTATGAGGTCTGCCGCCGGGGTCCACTAAGTTACAGTGTTTTAAACCGGTTGCTGTAAGAGCTCTGGTATAGAGCTAGAACTCAGAGTTGCTATATAGAACTATTACCACGGATGCTACCATGGGTGCCTGGGACATGTAGTTGGTTCAAACTTTGGAGAAGGGTGCAGTCTGAAGGAGTTCACTCCGAAGGGCGCGAGCCATGACCAAAACAGTACTTGAAAGCTCATGGGACTTAGTAAGGTTATAAGTAGGTTATAATTAGGATAACCCCACTTAGGAGACTTATAACCCCAATTATGACCTACTTACTAAGTCCCATGATCCTCTAAGTAGACCCTAAACCCTAAACCCCATAGATCCCTTTAAGGAACCTTATATGGATCCCTTGAAAAGGAGCCCTTTAAGACCCCTTACTGAAACCCTTCCTATAGTCTTCGGGACCCAAGCTCCTATGAGCTCCTACGACTTGGGTGGTTGTCAAAATTATGATCTCTTCTTGGTCCTTATCTAGGTAGGGCTTTGGGACATTTTATATTTCCCCTTAATGGGTGCAATTAAGAGGATCTTATTTACTAATATTTTCAAAGGCTTTAAAAGCCCCACCTAGTTATTGTAGTACGACACCTAATATTTAGGGTACCTCAAAAAGGGACCATCATTTTGACAACTACCCATTTGGATACCCCTAAACCCTAAACCTAAAATGCCAGATAATTATTGCCGAAAGCATGGTTCCTGTGTGCAGGGTTCTCACGTCATGAGCTCCGTCTAGCAGCTAAGCCCGAAACCGTACAGGGTTTAGGGTTGACAGTACCGGGGCTGCTTGAAACCGTGATCTTGTTGGGGCCTTTCTGTTTTCGGTGGCTCCTCTTTTTTGAGAGGTACCTTTCTTGTCGGTTGCAGTTTTGCTTGTTGGAAGGATCAGGGACTCAGTACGTAGGGCGTGGGGGAGTTTCTACCTGGGATGACTCAAAGTAGAGCGCTAAAGAAACCCTCAGCCTGCACCAAGATGCCCTAACCTTAGCCTGAGCTGTCCAAGAAGGGCGTCTTATTCGACATTTTGAATTAGTTGTTGAGCTTAGCCGGCTCAACCAAGATAGCCTTAAACCCCTAACGCAAAACCCACATGTACACGATACTAGCAATAATGGGGTCCAAGAGGTTTGAAACCTATATTAATAATCGCTTCCCCTGAACATTCAATCCCCCCCTAATATAAAAACTGCCGGCTCCCAGAATTTCGCGGTTTCGGGCCCCGCATTCAATTTAAAAGGGACAACATTAGGGGGGTGGCAGATCTGTATGTGTTTTAATTGAAGGAAGACTACGGTAGTACTAAAGAGAGCAGAGCTTTAGGGTTTAAGGGTTTAGGGCTCAGGGCTGTCTGGTCTGTCTACAGCCGGAACGGCTGCGCAGGAATTGCTCGCTGTTGACTTGTCTGACTGTAATTTATTTATTCACGAACTCATATAACTACGTGGATGCCGAGGGCTTAAGCTTCAGGGTTGAGGGCTTCAGGGACTTAATTAGGGCTCAGAGCTTTCGGGCTCTAGCCGTCTGACTGTCTGGCTGCCTCCCCCTAATATAAAAACTAAACCTCCGAAATCCAGTTTTTATATAAGGGGGAGGGGGGGGGGGAGCGTTTTAATATTAGGGGGAAGGGATTAGTCTGGAAAGCTAGTCTTTGAAGTTTTGAGGATCCCAACATGTCGATCTCTGTGGAAGTTCGACTGCTCAGCGGCAGGGCAGCTACTGTGCAAGCAGCCCTGGATGAAGACATTACAACCCTGAAACTTCGTGCGCAGAGGGCCCTCGGTGTGGGACAAGGACGGCTGGCAGACTCAGCTGGAAGCTTACTGGATGCATACGGACCAATCAAGGATTCCAGTATGCGGGACGGTGATTCACTGACCCTGCAAATAATTCCAGTTCAAGTTTGTGGTAATAGCTGCGCTTTTGCCACCATTCTTGGCGATGGATGCGTCGCGACCTGGGGGCGTGCTGAAGGCGGTGGTGACAGTAATGCTGTGCAGCATCAGTTGAAGAACGTGCAGCAAATTTATGCCAACGACGAAGCTTTTGCTGCCATTCTTGCCGATGGTTCTGTCGTCAGCTGGGGTGTTGCCGACCGTGGTGGTGACAGTAGTGCTGTGCAGGATCAGCTGAAAACTGTACAGCAGATCCGCGGCAATTACCATGGTTTTGCTGCCATTCTTGCCGATGGTTCTGTCGTCAGCTGGGGGGTTGCTGACTGTGGTGGTGACAGTAGTGCCGTACAGCATCAGTTGAAGAATGTGAAGCAGATCCAAGCCTCTCTCACTGCTTTTGCTGCCATTCTTGCGGATGGCTCAGTTGTGACTTGGGGTCAAGCTGAAATTGGTGGTGACAGTAGTGCTGTGCAGCATCAGTTGAAGAACGTCCAGCAGATTTATGCCAACGAGGAAGCTTTTGCCGCCATTCTTGCCGATGGTTCTGTCGTCAGCTGGGGTGTTGCCAACCGTGGTGGTGACAGCAGTGCTGTGCAGCATCAGCTGAAAACTGTACAGCAGATACGAGGCAATGACTCAGCTTTTGCTGCCATACTTGCCGATGGTTCTGTCGTCACCTGGGGTGTTGCTGACTGTGGCGGTGACAGTAGTGCCGTGCAGCATCAGTTGAGGGTTGTGAGGCAAATCCAAGCCAATCGCTATGCGTTTGCTGCCATTCTTGGCGATGGATGTGTCGTGACCTGGGGGAATGCTGACTATGGAGGTGACAGTAGTGCTGCGCGGCAGCAGCTGAAGGATGTGCAGCAGATCCAAGCCAATGGCTGAGCTTTTGCTGCCATTCTTGCGGATGGCTCAGTTGTGACTTGGGGTCAAGTTGAAACTGGTGGTGACAGTAGTGCTGTGCAGCAGCAGCTGAAGAACGTGCAGCAAATCCAAGCCTCTTGTTTTGCTTTTGCTGCGGTGCTTGGGGATGGCTCAGTCGTGACCTGGGGCCATGCGCATGCTGACAGTAGAGCTGTGCAGAAGAATGTGGAGCAGGTTCAAGCCACCGAAACGGCGTTTGCCGCCATTCGAGGGGATGGATCCGTAGTGATTTGGGGTATGGATGACTAGGATTCAGACTAGGATTTAGGGTTGAGGCGACAGTAGTCCTGCTCAGGAAAACCGTACAGCAGGCTATCGTTGTTCATATGCTGAAACCGTCAGGAGCACGAGTACCACTGTTGCAGATGTAGACCCTGTGTCGGTCCGCCGTCCGTGCCACTGACAGACGCTTTGAACAGACTTGGAGCTGTCCTCGTCCACTGGCTGGCAGAGCCGCATGTTTTCTCGGTGCGCCCTGCCTGTTTCACCTCTCTTCGTTGCCGCAAGCCCCCAAACGGCTGCGTCCGACCGGACCTATTACCATGGAAGTAAAAGTGAAAACCTCGCATGGCCCATATCACCTGGAGGATGGGTGGCGCAGATGCCCAAGGCCAGCCGGTTGCTCACCACTACGAGGCCTGGTGTTGCCGAGCGCGTTGTGGCTGATGTTTGGTTCCATGTTTCTCTACGGGTCCAAGACTCTAAACTCAAAGCCCTAACGAAGCCGTAGCAGCTTGCCTGGCTTCACCATACCTACCTTTTGAAGGGGATTGATAGGGAAATGAGAAGACGGAGCCCTGAGAGGTATGTTGCCTGCGACCAAGAAATATAAGTAAAACACAAAGCCATAAGCCGTCAACCGTAGTAGTAAGGGTTCAGCCCTCAAGCTGTAGCCCGAAGATTCCAAGCACCCAAATAGTAGGCTTAGGGTTTCAGTTGCCGAGACCATTCAGAGCATGGAGCTTGATCCTTGCTTTCTGAGTATTTGGACCCTCTGGGTAGTTTGAATTACAGGTTCATGCAGAGCTTGATGATGAACTTTGTTGTCAGGCTGTCACTAAACTGCATAGAATTTCTGTGGTGATGATGACGATGATGATGTTTAGGACTAATATGGCGAATGCTTCTGCTACAGATCCTGGTGCTAGTAGTAGCAGTAGTAGTCGTATAAGTAGTAGTAGATCCTACTATTTAGGGTACCATATTAGGGTCCCCTATTTTCGGAAACTCCCAAATCTTTCCGTTAGAGTTTAGGCTTTGGGAACCCTAAGCCGTACACCACAAAGAGCTTGGCTCGTCAGCTTAGCAGAGAGAAGACCGAAACCCTAAACCCTAAACCCTACCCTAAGGCTCCCAAAGGGGTCATGGGCTTTCTGGGGGAAGGGTTTAGGCTTTCGGGGCTAAGGTTTGGGATCTCACTACGAGCATCCAGGAGCATTAGGGTAAACCTGGAAAAGAAAAGAGGCCAAGTTCTTGGATTTCATCCTGCGGATCGCAGCGAGCTGTTCGCAGAAGGCCTGGTACGCACAAGTCCCCTGTTCAGGGTTTACTATAGGGTTCCCCTTGTTTTAGGATACCTACATTTATGGTTTGGATCTGTTATATTGAAAACTAGGTACCTTGAAAAACTTACCTTTGGTGAGTAGGGAATGGAATCAGGGTGTACTATAGGGGCCTAAATAAATACCAAATACTATTTTGGGGGTTCCTGACGAGAGTTATAGTATAACGGGCCCCAAAACGCTACTCTAATTATGAAGGCCCCAATATTAGGACGGTGCAGTTACCGTTGGTTAGTGGGGAATGGAAGAATGGTAGCAATAGTAGGTATAATTATACCTAATTCCTCCATTCCCTACTAATCCAAGGTAAGTTCAGGGTTTAGGACGGTTCAGGGTTTGGCCTAAAACCTTGAGCTTGAAATCCCCAAACCGTAAGACCCTGAACTCCCAAAGATCCAGACCCCAAGGGTTTAGGGGTTCAGGGTTTAGGGTTTCGGGTTTAGGGTTTAGGGGTTTAGGGTTTAGGGGTTCAGGGTTTGGGGGTTTAGGGTTTAGGGAACCCTTTAAGGAGTCCTTTGAAGGAACCATTATATAAGAGCCGTTAGCATAATGCACTCCAGTCGATGACCGCCTTATACGCGCGCCCGAACACTCAGAGCATGGCAAGGTGGTCCACTTAGAGGATCATGGGACTTAGTAAGTAGGTCATAATTGGGGTTATAAGTCCCCTAACTGGGGTTATCCTACTTACAACCTTACTTACTAAGTCCCATGAGCCTTCAAGCAATCCCTCGTCCGACCTCATTCGGTTTGGAGTTTAGGGCAGTGCATTCATTCTCTTTTCAAGTTAAACTCAGAGGACAGCACGTGTAGGTTGCAGGCTTTCAGGGGAGGCCGAATCCCCATCAAACCCCAAACCTTGAACCCTAAACCCTAAACCTCAAGCCCAAAACCCATCAACTCCAAGGAGGTTTTTCGACGATGTGCCATGCCCTGCCTTCGTCCTCTAGGACTCCGGCACACCAATCCGGACGAGGTGTTGCTTGGAAGATCGGGTTGTATTCGGGTGTTACAGAGGGGTTTGTGATATTGTTGTGCTTTCAAACTTCTGTTGGCAGGGATGTTGTGGGTGCTATGTGTCTTTTTCGTTTTAAAGTAGAAGCCAGAAAGTTGGAATATCATTATCGTAACCCCTTTAAGGTAAACTATAGGGGATCCTACCATTAATCCATATTCCAACTTTCTGGAGTTCCCTTTAATTCCTAAACCCTAAACCCCTAAACCCGAAAACCCCCAAAGGCCTAAACCTCTGAACCCTAAACCCCTAAACCTCCAAGGGCCTAAGTGTTGTAGAAGTTTTGTGCTCGGTTGTATGCATCGTTTAGTTGGTGTTGTGTTTAGGGCTGCCTGGGGCTTCTGCATTAGCCCTAAACCCCGAACCCTAAACCCAGAACCCAAAACCGTAAACCCTAAACCCCGAACCCTAAACCCAGAACCCAAAACCGTAAACAGGGTTTAGGGTTCCCTAAACCTGAGTGGCCTGGGAAGGCATGGGCTTTTTGGGGCGACGAGTGAACGTCAGTGACAAGATTCGAGCTTAGGTAGGTGGACGGTATATCAACTCCATAGCCCTCATCCTACTCTGTTGCGCGGGGGTATCGGAAGCACGTCTGGTTTTCAGTGCTTGGCTCCTGGTCGAGAGTTGGAGTGTGGATGGAGTTTGCGATTTAGGGCTTAGACCAAGGTTGCTCGTTTAGTATGGAGGTTTGCGTAATTAGCCAGTAAAGCATAGGAACTCCTCAGCTGTTATGGCTCCTATACTACGGTTTTCGAGTTGGAGTTTGGGACGGCATTGAGTGCGGTGCTCTTCGGGGGGTAAGACTGTGAAGCTCTTCGAACATCGTGATCAAAAAGGGTGCCGAGATTCCATAGATACGATAGGGGTCTGATAATGTAATGTAGTCCTCATGTTTCCGTGTAGTCGGTTTACGGCCAGGGATCAAGATTTACTCGTAGGGTTTATCTGGTTTCCAGAGGGTTATCGGGCAATTACATAGCCTCAAGCCTCGTTCCCTGCAAGCGCGGTACTTCCGAACGGAAATCGCAAATAAACCCTAAACCCTAAACCCTAAACCCTAAATACACAAACCTGGGCCCTGAGCTCCAAAGCCTGTAGAGACCCCAGCAACCCTACCGGCCCTAAGCACCAAATCTCTACAGTAGAAGCCAGAAAGTTGGAACATCACTATCCTCGTGCCCTTAAAGTGAAGTATAGGGAATCCCAGCAAGACTCATCCTAAAGCAATGTTCTAACTTTCTGGGGTTCACTACAAGCCCTGACCAGTTCAACCTTGTCGGCATGGAGTTTAGCAATCCTACCGGAGACGGGCCGCCGCAAAAGCGCGTAGTGGCCCGGCACTGCTACTCTGAGTCTAAAACCCTGAACCTGAACACTAAGACGACTATAGGGGCTCAAACAGTTACCAATACTATTTTGGAGGCTTCCTTATAATAACAGAGTATAATGGGCCTCAAAACCTTATTCTAATCATTAAGGCCACTGTATCAACTCCCAAACCCTGAATGCTAAGTATGAAATGTGGCAGGGATTCTGAGGCTGTATACTGAGTGTTCAGGGTCGCACCCCAGTATTAATAAGAACATATCTATAGTCTTCATTGTAGTTCCTGTTCTGGGCTAACCAATTTTATTGTTAGGATCCTATAATCTAGATTTTGGTTAACCAAAAAAGGAACTACAATGCAGACTATAGGTAGCAGCAGCACTAGTAGTAGCAGCAGCAGCGGTAGTGGCGGGAGCAGGAGGAGGCTCAGGAGGAGTTGGTGTAGGAGTCGTTGGAGTGGCAGGCAATCGTCGTCGAAATCCGGAAATAGTAGGTGTAATGGTGTAATGATGGTTTCTTCCAGCGCCATCATCATGACCATCGAAGGCATCGTGGCAACAAAAGCAACACCAAGCGAGCCGAATACCAAAGCGATGCTCCCGGTCTAGTTCAAGTTTTGCACACCCAGAGGCTCCATATATGGTACCGTTATGGAACAAGACCCCCAAAGACCATCTTTAGCAGGGTTTTAGGGACCAATTTCCAAAATGATGCTAAATATGGAGCCTCTAGGATATTTTGGGTATAGCCTCGTTTGTTGCTTTTCTCCGGGCCCTGCACCCTAAGCCTTAATATAGAAGTCGTAAAATTCGGCAGCCATGCCGTATTGTTACACCCTAACATCCCCCATGGCCCATAACCCAAAGGCAACAACTGCACAATCCTCTATCTTAAACTCAGTAACTGCAACCTTTACCGAACCCTAATTGAAGCCTCAAAGGGATCATTTACAGTAGCCGCGTATTGCATTGGCCGTTAAAGCATTCATTATACGGCTCTCCGAGGTATCGTGGCTGAAGGGCTTCGGTCTCGGTGCAGCGGCCAAAGCCTCAGAGAGAGAGAGAGAGAGAGAGAGAGAGAGAGAGAGAGAAAGAGAGAGAGAGAAAGAGAGAAAGAGAGAGAGAGAGAGAGAGAGGGATTTGGAGCTCCCTCGAAGGAAGCTACACTGGGCATGGTTTTAGGATGTTGTTTACTTTCCCTTCTTGTTTAATATAGAGCTCCAGCCGCAGTATATGTTTACCTCGGCCATCACCCTTCTTGCAAAGTCAGCTGATCCTCTGAATCACCCTCCCCCAGCCCACCCACACATAGCCCCAGAAACCCCGAACCTGAAGCAATCTCGAAGAAGCCCTGACCCTAAACCTCAAACTAAGATTCCTCAAGACATCACCTCACCCTGAACCCCTGCCCTAAACCCTGTACTACCTAAACCTAGGCCGAATTTCCTAACCCTAAATAGCAAGAAACTCTATCTACCAAGCCCAACGAGACCTGAAGAAAACAGTCGAAACCAATCTCAGAAGCTGCGATGCTTCTTGTTAAACAGCCTCCTTGTCAACAACAAGTGGAAGAACGGTGAAGCGTATAAAGCCAAAACCCCTAAGGCCTGAACCACAACCCTAAAGCCATGAATCCCAGTACTCCAAAAACAAGAAACTCAACGATGCCGGGGCCCTTGCCAACCTTCCCAAGGGATCTAAGGACTCATATATTACATACGGCTTTTGAGCCCAAAGACCATACAATATATTAAGACTTTTGGGCTGCTTTGATCCCTAGGGCTTTAAAAACCCCTTACAGTCCCGGCGAAACCTGATACTCGCTAAAAAAGCAAGCAAGTAAACCTCGACAACACCCACGCTGCGTACTAGTAATATAGAAGCCTGAGAATACCATTCTTTCGTGTTCTTACCTTACTACAACTAGGCTACAAGACACCCCAAGGCCCCTATGCTAAAGCAATACAGTAGCCAAGGTAGCTTTCAAGGCACCCTGTGGCAAAGCATTTTAAGACCCTGTAGACCCTAAGTCCTGATCCCTGAAGCCTACTTAGAGGATCATGGAACTAAGTAAGTAGATTATAGGTGGGGGTTATAAGTCCCCTAAGTGGGGTATCCTAATTATAACCTACTTATAACCTTACTAAGTCCCATGAGCCTTCAAGTACACCCCAAGTACTAAGTCTTCAACCCTAACCTGCAGCCGGAAGGATCCTCAGCCCAAAACCCTAAAGCTTGGTACCGAAACCCTACACTACTCTAAACCTGAGAGCATTACCTGGTGGCTGGGACTTTCCCCAAATCCCCAAGCCCTAAATCCTAAGCCCTAACTTACCTTTCAGGCCCATTTGTTTAAGCCCGCAACCTGAGCATACTTTCAGCGACTGTTTCGAGGCTCCGGGACGCTTCCGGCCTTAACCCTAAACCTTAACCCTAAACCCGAAACGCTTAAGCCTAAGCCTTACCTTAGGGCTCCGGTCACCTAAAGATGGTAGGTTGCCGGGGGTATAGAATATATGGTTAGTAACCGACGATTTAGGTGACTGGAGGTCTAGGGTTACGTCCCAAATAACTTACCTTTTGAGGATTTATTTCAGGAAATCATAGCAAGGATCTCGAAAGAGGGCAGGTTTTTTATAGGGTCCAGGTAAGCCTTAGGCAAGGCTGGGACTGTTCCTTACTATAACTATAGTATAATGGCCCCCAAACCCTAGTCTTATAGTAACCTTTCTAGACCCCTCTAGACTGGAGCCCTATGAAGGGAACTCCAGAAAGTTGGAATACGGATTAATGGTAGGATCCCCTATAATTTACCTTAAAGGGGTTACGATAATGATATTCCAACTTTCTGGCTTCTACTGTAGGGTTATGTGGGTGGTAATTATGGTCCCTAATTTAATGCGGCACCTAATATTGAGGATGCCCAAAAGGGGGCCCTAACATTGACAACCACTACCCTTATAGATCCCGTATAGCAACCCTTAAAGATCCCTCAAAAGGACCCTTTGAAGGAACCCAGAACTGGAACCCTAAACCCTAAACCGTAGGACTACGTAAGGCTGGGACTGTTGGTGCTCTTTGCGGCTTGGCTGCCGGAGCTTCGGCGACAGCGTTGGCCGCAGCAGCCCGGGCCTATGGGGGTTTGACCTGGGCTTTCCCGGAGACTCCCTTAAAGGGATCCTTAAGGGCTCCTTCAAGCTACTGTTTGCTTAAGAAGCCCCCGAAAAATAAAAATAATAATCCCTATATTACCCCCATAAGGAATATATTTTTTATTTTTTGGGGATCCTTAAGGGCTCCTTCAAGGGATCTATAAGGGATCTGTAGGGTTTAGGGTTCCCAGAGACCCCAGGATCCTTTTGATTAAAAAAAAGTTCATTAAAGCATATTAGGGGTCCTACCATAGTTACATTAAATTTTAATGTATATTCCGTAATTTTAGAGATATTGGAGTCTCTGAGTTAGAGGGTTCGAAAAGGAGGTTTAGGAGTTAAGGGGTAAGGATTTCGGGTCCAGGGCTTAGGGTTTAGGGTGGGATCGTCCAGGGCTTGAAGGGTGTGATTGTATTTTAAGAGTTTCATCATGCAAGAGACGCATGTTATATTTTATTGTTAAACAGCTTTCTAGGGTTGGTTCCCTTTGGGGCCTGTTGAGCTCCGGTTGCGGGGGTTTAGGCTCTGGTCATTGGTGGTTTCCGAAGCCTAGAAGGTCTCAGATTTTATGATTCATGATGGGCTTTAGGTTTTGGAGCTAATCCAATCAGTGCACCGGGCGCTTGACCTCGGGTAGTTGCTTGCGGTGTGGAAAAGCTGGAGGGTTGAGGTTTGCAGAGATGGTGTCCCAGTATGGTGTGGTGGATCGAAATGGGAGTGTCCAAAAAGAGGGGATCCTAAGATAGTACCCTAAATAGTAGGATCCCTATCATAAGAGGACACCAAAAACGGTATGGGAAGGCTGTCCGGCTCGGCTGCGGAAAGAGTGGTGGATCTTTTCTGTCTGGTTCTTAGTCAGCAGGGCATGAGGGAATGGAACCCTATGATAGTGCCTTAAGGTCCCCTTTAGGAGTCCCAATAACCCATTCCCCCATTCCCTATTAAGAGCCAGAGCATACAAGGCAAGCAAGGAGAACCGTGATGGAGCCGGGGGATGGCAGTGGTTCGCAATGGTTGGGTGGATGGATGACATGTAAATGCCGTCCCTTTATTATCCATTTAAGTTCCTTTTCTTGGTTTGAAAAAAACCTTTTTTGGGGATGCTGAAATAGAGATTTGGGTTAACAAAAAAAAGGAAGTACAATGGAGACTATAGGTCTGCTCGCTTCTCCTGGCCTGCTTGGCCTTGCCATTAATCTGACAGCATGAAAGGCGGTAAAGGGAGCTCCAAAAACCACCCTTAAAGATAAATAATCTTATAAACCCTGAACCACCTAGAAAGAAATACATGAACATTGCTTGTCATTGCTGTCATCGAACCCCCTAACCGCTGATTTCCAGCCCCAGCCCCAGCATGTTTTGGGAATTGGGGTGGGCTGGGCTCTGGGCTTTGGGCGCCCGGGAGGCTGGTCCCAAAGCATAAAACAGCCAGCCCAGCCCAGCAGCCAGCCCACCGATTCCCAGAAACGAGTTCGTAAAAAGAAACTTAGGGGTCAAAGCTTTCGGTCGAAGCGTTTCGCACAAAACTTACTGGCACCCAAACGCTTACAAAAGGGGGCTTAAAGAATTATCAATAATGCTGCGGCGGCTTCTTGTTACGATTATAGTGTAATGTATCCCAAAACCCTTTGCCCGAACAGACTTTTTGTCCGATCACACCCCAAAGCCCAATTCTATTTATTAATCCCCCTCTATGAAACAAAATTCTATGAACCTTAGTCCCAACGCCAGGTGGCCACTGGAAGTGCCCTGGGCCTCGTAGGCGCAGAGGTGACTGTGCAGCGGGCGAAGCAGGTCCTTGGGCAGCTTTTACCCAAAGGGTCACAAGCAACGTAGGGGTTTCAAATACTTAATTCATAACCTATACTTTTTTGGTGGCTCCTTGGTATAGAATGCGCCCCAAAACCCTATTCTAGTATCAGGATGGGTAGAGGGGTTTAGAAGAGTTTTCTCAAGGCTCTGCTTTGGGCTTACAGACCATTCTCGCAAAGGTTGTTGGGATATTGCTAGCCTTGGGGCTTTAGTTTCCTGTCTTGACACAGACTATGCTGATGCTTAGGTTCCCAATACCCAACCTTGAAACTTTTTGGGCTCTTGTAGTTTAGTAGGAATCGGAAAGTTTGACCTTTTGTTTCTGTGGCTTATTGGGGTAGTAAGCATGGGCTCCAGGAATGGCGCAAATTTTCGGACTTCTGAGATTCAGGGTCAAGAGACAGGCGGAGATTTATTGGGACAGTGAAGGCACTTTGCGGCTTGCGGGCTTGAAACATTGTTCTTCATTTGGTTTCCTTTGGTGGAGTTTTGGTCATGCCTTTGTTCCTGCTTTCTTGTACTCTGTCGTGCGAGACCTTCGGTCCGGATACATCGGGCGTCGCCGGTACGACGAGGGGTTCGTGGGATTAAGAGTCGATAAAACCCAGCAAGGTTTCGATTTTTTAAAAAGAAAGTGAAATGAGAGCTTCTATATATAGCAGGGGAGTTGTTTACCTTCAGCATCTTTCAACATGATCAGAAGTGAAGTTTCCTGTTCGTTTTGACCATAACGATAAAATCGACCCCACCCGGTGAGCATAGGCCGCTGATGGCGTTTCGTTCTCTTGCAGTGTAGACGGTTCATGGAGATGCTGTCCCGCATGTTAAGCAGGACGCTCCACGAAGCGCTGACCTCGAGCCTACCAACCTATGTCTAGATCGTTAGGGTTTTTAGGTCAGTGTTGAGGGTTTCGCTAAGGGTCTATGTGCCCAAATAGTATATAGATTGGGCCCAAAGTACCCAAACAGGGACTACTTTAAGGCCAAAGTAGAGACTATTAGGGTACATGGACCCTTAACACCCAAAACCCTATAGAACCCTTATAGATCCCATATACTAGAGCCTTAAAGAGACCCAACAGGAACCCTTAAAGGAACCCCTTAGGATTCAGTCCGCAACAGGCCTTGGCGCACGAGGAGCACTGCCTAGAACGTGCGGCAGCGCTCAGTGCGGACTGCGATGCAACCGTGCTGGTGCTGGGCAACTCTGCAAGGGTTCAGGGGCTGGGGCTCGGGGCTTTTGATTTAGGGGTTAGGGTTTTGGGATTTATGGTTTAGGGTTCAGAGTTTTGGGTTGAGGAGCGTAGTTCTCACTCGAAGCCCTAGGAACCGAGTCGACGTGTCGCCTTGCTTGTTGTCATGATGCAAACTTTGCAATGCCAAACTATAGATGGGGCAACACATAGTGCGAATAGCGGCTTGGGGGATATGACAGTATGTACACTTGTATGCATGTGTATATGCACATATATATATATACATATATATATATACATATATATATATATATATATATATATACATATTCTTGTATCCATACTATGATATACATATCATGACATACACAGATATATACACATATGTATACATAGACATAGAAAGAGAGAGAGAGAGAGAGAGAGAGAGAGAGAGAGAGAGAGAGAGAGAGAGAGAGAGAGAGAAAGAGTCTGTACACGGCTACTACGCCTCATGCCTCTCTGAGGCACGGACGGTTTCTGGGAGTGCGAGGGCGTGGACCAACCGCACATGCGCTTCCCTGGGCGTCAGGACGTCCGATTTCGTATGATTTCGTAGCTGCTGAGAGTCCCTGCTGCTGGCAGGGCATGAAATCCAGAGCCAGGCAAACTCGGCAGGAACAAGAAAAACACAACGACTGCAAATAACAATCGCAAAACATTTCATGATTAATGAGAAGAGGAATATCACAACAACTACTACTAACAAGTTAATAGTAGTGTTGATAACAAGAATAATAATGGTCATAATAAGTCAATAAGTAATAACACAAGCAATATACACATTACAGCGACCGAGACGACAGCCGAACCACCTGAGCCCCCTGTAGGATGAGCTCCTCCTCCGATGTGCATCTGCCGCCCAAGCCTCTGGGAAGCCTCTGATCTTGGTGCTCAACGTGGGCTCCCCCAAGGAGTGCACAATTCGAGATTTGAGGAAGGAAGTTTAGAGAATGGGGGTTGGGATTTGGGGACTTTGGTTGTGTAGTGTATGCAAGGATGCACTCGCAACATTACATTGCAGGGGCCTTCAAAGTTAGAATCTGCTAGAAGTTAGAACAACAGCAGGGTCTTCTGGTATTCTATAATTCGGGGATAATAAGGAACCCTGGCCCCGATATTACCGGCCTGGTTCGACAGCGCAGTTTGGCAGCCCTTTGTCCCACGCCTTTGGCATGAGTCCCTGGCATGTTGGGTCGGACACTAAACCCTAGATTCCCACACCTTCAACGAAACCCAAGGGTCATCCGAAACCCAAAACTAGCAATCTAAACTCTAAGCCCCGACCTCCTAAATCATCCCCTCCCCCCTTCCCCCTACCCCTCTAAGGGTCCCCAGGACTAAATGCCCCTATACCTGCAGCCCTGACTCGAGCCTTTGAGAATGGCGATCTCTGCCATCGGCGGAACCAGGTCGCCCCGGGGCCTCGTCTTAGACTACAATATTAGTCTGCTCTGTATATACGCATGGAAAACTATGTCGTTTCATACTGTGTATGTTCAAAGTTATACCAGTATAAACATATAACATATCTCCATACATCTATAAATACGCACACACGCATACGAATATTGGTTTGTCTTTTGTGTTTATGTATAACTGTATAACCATTAGGATAGGGTGTTTGGGTTACATTATCTTGCAAGTATAACGGCATCGGAAGGCTAATCCTGCAGAGACCGTAGAAGGGTGGCAGCTGTGCATTCCACAGCCATGTAAATCGCTGTTGTACATGTCCTTATGTATGCTTACATGGTATATGTGTCTTTGTATATGTGTTCATTTACTTATCTACATATATACACACAAATACACAGGTAGATAGGTCAAGATGTAGATTTTGGCATGAGACCAGGACCAGAAGTTCTTAAGCTTGCGAAAGGAGCTTCCCAACCTTTCCGACGTCCGATCGGTGCTTCTGTCGCTGCCTCAGCTGATGGCATGGTCGAGTGTATCGAAACCTCGAACAGCCAGCAATGAACTTGAAGTTTCCACCATGGGGTTTGGAAGTCAGACGCACCCCTTTTTAATGATTGTAATGTAGATCTTTTGTGTATCTATGTTCTGTTTTTCATCGAGGTCGTACTATGGCGGTGAGCAAACGGCTCCGGCTGTGGTTGCCGCACTGCTGGGGGTGCCAGACCTCCAATTTGGTTGACCCGGTTTCGTTCAATCCTGCATTCTTAAGCGTTCTATCTACGAAAACAAATATAAGCAGGTCTACAAAATCTGGTTCCTGTCGGGGTACTTCAGTGCAACATGCAGACATGCATGCATACGTAATTACATACTATACTGGCACTTGCACCTTTCACGTGATTGTCAGCAGTTGTGTTAACAGTATTCTAAACCTGCTGCCAACATCCCAAAATCCAAAACTTTAAATGTAAGCACAGATCTGCGCATGCTGCGGGTAGGGTTTCGGCGCAATGCTTTGTGGGTGTACTCTTCTGTGCCGTCAGAGTCCTCACCTTGCATACCTTATAGGATCCCTTACATGAGCCCTTTAAAGGAACTCTATTATCAGGTCCCTCTGACCCCTAGCACACACTGACGGTGAGACGACAAGCTAACAAGCTTCCATTACATTCTTTGTGGAAATCAGAAGAAGCCTTGGTAGTCAGCAATACTTACTGTTCTTATGGAACAGTTTTTTCAAACATAGACTACGGCGACTAGAGTCTACCCCTAACCCTACTCTGATTAATTATCCTAACCCTACTCTGATTAACTATCCTAAGCCTACTCTGATTAATTGTATTACTCTTATGATTGCTCCAGGTAGAGGATGTGGCAGAAGCCGCATCGCCTGAAAACCTGAGTCGCGCACACACAGAGTCCACTATCCTGCTGTGGATCCAAACTGTGCTCGAAGATGGTGGCAAGAATACTCCCTGACTCTGAATTTTTGGATAAACCGTAGCCATAAACCCTAACTCCTACCCTAAACCGTAAACCCTAAGCCCTAGTGTTCGAGTCTCTGAAAGTCGTTGGTGCTCCTGTGGTTCAGACCAAGGAGTTTTCGCCGGCGGGGCGCATTCCTACGACCTGGCCAAGAACTCTGGACGAGGCCTCTTGGCTCATGGTAGACGTCCTAGGGACCCGTAGGGGGGTTACGGTTGATGGTATAAATCCTGCATTACACATAATGAGGTAATACCATAAATCCCGTAGTTTAGGGTCCTTAAGGTAATGCAGGATTTATATCATCAACTGTAGGGTTTAGGGTTTAGGATTTTGGGTTGTGTAGTGGTTTGTATCATAGGGACCCTTAGCGGGGTATGGGGGTAGGGGACTACACTTCCTTAAATAGGCCTTATGAAGTCCTTATTACAGATCTACATGCCCCCTACCCCCTACAAGACATGCATTGTAAACATACATGCATACATACATACACACATACATGCGTACGTACATGCACACACACACACACACACACCCTCAACGGAGGCATCTTCGGAGGTCTTCGAACGGCGCGCTGCTGCAGACGGTGCTCAGAGCAGTCGAGGCTAGGGCTTAGGTCTTCAGAGTTTAGGGTTCAGGTTCATGTTAGGGTTTATAGGGCCTAGGTTTTTTGCGTTGATGGTTTATAGGGTTTAGGGAGTTTCGGGCTCAGGTTCATGTTAGGTTTAGGGCCTATGCTTGTAGCGTTCGTCAACGGTTCATGTTAGGATGTTTAAGCTTATCTAGGATGCCCAGTAGTACGCTTATTCCCTTTTTGTAGTCCTAGGTTCCTTATAAAGTTACCCAATACCGAAAAGAGAGGCCTTTTTATTCTTAGGTTACTGGGTATCCTAGTTATCGCTTCAGGGTTTTGGGTTCTGGCTGGCGGTTGATGGTTCCCTCAAGGCTTCTACTCTAAACCCTAAAACCCTAAACCCCAAAACCTTAAACCCTAAAACCCTAAACCCTAAACCCTAAAACCCTAAACCCAAAACCCTAAAACCCTAAACCCTAAAACCCTAAACCCCAAAACCTTTAACCCTAAACCCCAAAACCCTAAACCCTAAAACTCTAAACCCTAAAACCCTAAACCTCCGCAAGGCTCCTATAAGCGTGTCCTCGGCGAAGTGCTACTTCGTAGGGATGTACGGGAAAAACCCCCAAACCCAAAACCCTTCAACCCTAAACCCTATAGTATCCTTTTAAAGGAACCCGAGTTGGCCGGGCCTCAGGGATCTGGTCTTCGGGTTTACGGGTTTAGGCTTCAGAAGTTTTAGTGCTTAATACAGGGGCCTTGATAATTAGGATAGGGATTTGGGGACCGTTATACTATAAGTATAATAAGGAACCTAGGTGTGGGGGTACGGGGTGAAGGGTTTAGGCTTGCATTTAAGTTTTTAGGTTTTTAGGCTCTAGGCCTGGAGGTTTTAGGGTTTGGGGTTTAGGGTTTCAGGGCTTAAGGTCTAGGCATCAGGAGTGTTAGTTAGGTTTTAGGGATTGGGGTTCAGAGTGTAGGAGCAAACCCGCCACCGCCAGGCGATGTGGTTTACTACGAAGGCCTCAATCTCGGCTACCGTGGCATACGAGAAGCTTGGCACGACCAAGCCTGTGCAGATTCTGAGTCGGGGTTTAGGGTGTCAGGTTTTAGGGTTTTAGAGTTTGAGGGTTTAGGGTTTTAGGGTTTAGGGTTTCAGGGTTTAGTGTTTCAGGGTTTAGGGTTCTAGGTCAAGTTGCTGGGGTGTTTGGTATTTATTGGCCATGCGGCTGACGGAGCAAGAACTGCATGTGTGCGTATATGCATATACAAACATCTCCACAGATCAGGACGTTACCACAGCTCCCATGACATCAGTTTGTCATGCTTACTTGCGAGTTTCCAAAAATGTGGGACCCTAGTAGTAGGATCCTGATTATAACGACCCCAAAATAAGGTACCCCCCTAATATTCGGAAACTCCCACTTTGCGAGTTGACTCCTGACATTCAGACCCGGAACCCCCGCACCAGACAGCCTACTTGGAGGGGCAGGGGACTTAGTAAGTAGGATATAAGTAGAGTTATAAGTACCCTAAATGGAGTTACCCCAATTATAACCCTACTTATAACCTACTCACATTTAAGGAGCCCTTACTAAGTCCCCTGCCCCTCCAAGTAGCGGCCCAGGAGCTGCCAGAGCCAGCGTTTCATTTTGGGCACGGCCTTTCCTATACCAGCTTCGAGCCTTCTGGCATGACGTCTTGTGTCTGTGCGTGTGTGTGTCTGTGTGTGTGTGTTTGTCTGGGTGGGGGCCTCCTTTAAAGTAATATAGGGCCTATAAAATAATTACCAAATGCTTTTTTGGGTGTTCCTGGGTGTAGTTATTTCAGAATACAAGCTTGTTGTCATGATTAAGGCCCCAATATTAGAGAACCTGTTATAGATCCCTTATAGAAGCCTTTAAATGAACCCTTGAAGGAACCGTATTCTAAGTCTTAAGGGCCCTATGTTATTTGATTCAGGCTTTTCTTGGAACAGGCTGCCATGTCGTGGAGTCTCCGTGAGGAGGTCTTTGTGCACGTCGATCTTTTCTGCCACGGGTTTGGGTTTAATTTAGGGTTTAGGGCCTACCTTAACCCGGGAGAGCCTACTATTTTAGGGACTCATATAAGGCACACATAAAAAGGAACCCTAAAAAGGTAGGTTATTCAGGGTTAAGGTAGGGTTAGTAGGGTTCAGCAGGGTTTAGTAGGGCTTAGCTTGGCAATCGCCCTGGGAGGCTGAACGTAGCCTCGAAACCGTACATTGCGAGACGAAAGTTTATGGTTTAGGCCTCTAGGTTTCGGGGTTTAGGGTTTATGGTTTTATCATGGATTGGGGGGGGGGTGGGTTGGGGGGGGGGTGGTTAACCTTATCCTTACACTAGCCTAAGCCTGGACATCCTTGGGACGTCCAAGGGGGATGAGCTGGAAGTCTTTGGAGAACCTGCTTCACTAGGGACGGCAGTCAGCAGCAGGCTTATTTTCGAGTGCTCGGAGCAACTTGGTGACGCGAGAGTGAGACTGCAAGACTTCAGCCTATTCAAGCCAAACTGGAGCTGAAACGTTTGGTTTTCTAGCGTGTTTCTTGACATTACGCATAGCAGCATACAGATGACCGGTCGTCCAGCACGGCACAACAAAACCACAGCGTCAAGAGCCGAATCATGCCTCCAGTGAGCGCTGGCAAAATGCAAACCGATAACTTCACGGACTGCTGTTGGTTGATTGTAACTGTGACCTAGCCTGTCAAACCTATTTTGCACCTGTCCGCCGGCGCTTGGCGCTCTGCTGCACGGCCGATGGTGCTGACTTCGCAGCACCGCGCGCAGACGATGAAGCTGCTGGAGCAGAGCTTGCTGCCGAGGCCGCAGGGGCATCGGCTTCACTTCCCACGTTCATTGTCGCAACGCAGCTTGCCACTTCAGCTCGTGTAGGACTCAGATGTGAGGATGCCAAACTAAAGCCCGGTTCTGGTGCGGAAACTGATGTGCGGCTGAGCAACGGTTTGCGCTTGATGAACTCTGCATGAGGGACTGCTTCGCGATGCCACTCCCACAGCTGTTCCAGGACAGTCCAAAGTGCATCGTCCTCTGACAGCTTCTTTTGAACTCCGCCCCACTTGCAGGTCTTGGAGCCCGTGCCGCTTGTCCGGGAAGCAACTCGGAGAGAAAAAAGAAGCTACGAAGAACGTGGTTAGGGCCAAAATTAAGCTTGCACGTTGCAGTCGAGGCTCCTGGATACCATCCTTGATAGGTTTGTTGCGCAGGATTCCGCTGAATGTAGCACGCCGGCACTGGCGGTAGCAAGCCCTGCCTTAGTCAAAAAAAAACAGACAATGGGCAGAGTGTTGTCAGTCTCAGAGACGCATTTCAAGGCAACTTTTGATGGCCAAGCATCAGCTCCTTGGGCGTGTGATACTTCTTCGGAGCTCTCTCAGCAATGTCCTGTCCTGACTTCGGAGCTAGGAACTGCAAAGCATAGGATTTGTTTGGTTGAAACGGCGTCAGTGGGGATGTAAATTTCAGGGTTCCAGAGTTGTGTCTTGATTTTGGGAGGAAGTCGGAGGCTTGTGACGGCGACATCCCCACACAGACGCAAATTTCTGGACGACTTGCTGCACAATTGCATCTCCTTCAAGACCTGGAAGAAAATCCATGTACACTTAAATCTGAAAACACGCAAGAACCACGACATACATGCAAGCCATGAATCCACGGCCCTGTACTTCAGCTGCAGCTTCCTTGGCCTTCTGAGCCAGCTCTTTGACTCTCTTGATGTAGCTCTGATCTCGCTCTTCGGCATCTAACCCCTCTACGCACTCCACCACCTCACTGGGGCAGGCAAGTTTGGTTGGATCCCAGGTGCCCATAAACTTGCGGAGAATTTCGTTCACAGACTCCTCGTCGAGGTCAGGAAAGAAGCCGGAAACCAGAACCCGTGCCCAATCTCGCTTCAGGACACTTCGTACCCCTTTGGCGTTTGGTTTCCCGGTTCCTCTTGCAGGCTGGGCTATGCCATTCGCCTTGCACAGCCTTTTGATGTTCTCCAAGCTCAACCAGTTGCCAATCCGCACAGATGCTTTTGGAAGTGACTCCAGCTCACCTGTTGCTGTCAGTAGGCTGGTCTTGTGCTTGAGTTCCGCAGGCATGAGGGCTGGGATCACAGGTGTGATAGCGCACATCTTCCATTGGCATGTAGCTACGCTGGCATCCTTGTTGACGAGGACACTTGGCACTTTCAGTTTGGCGGATTCATCCAGTGCAGGAACCTCCCAGTACACCTGAGCGCAGAGCATCATTTCAACTGCAGCTGCAGCTGGCCAGATTCAAGACAAGTGACACTGGGTTAGATTCCTAGGTGCACAACACCAAGAGTTTACGAGACAAGGAGAACGCAGAGGCAGCAGGACCGTGGGTTTAAGAATCTTCTCGACTGGGCTGAATGCACGGCAAAGTAGGTATGGCTTTGTACCAGACACACAGAACACAACAACATGCTGCCCACGGCACCTTCCCTGCCACTTGGTGCTCGTTCAATCTCACACCTAGAGTAGCCCATTTCCTGAATCCGAGGATGATGTACGCGTTGGAGCCTCTCACAGCCACGGCGCCTTTCTGGAAGAGGCAGCCTTCGGACAGGAGTAGGGTTTGCAACTTCACACACTCATATGAAAATTATATGGGGAGTCTCATAGTTAGTTTATTCAATAGAGATAATAAGCTGAGCTGAGCTCGAATCATTCAAACCCTGAAAGCTAAAACCCGAAATGCCTCCAGATATTTCATGATTTCTTCAATTGCGACCCGAGGAGGGGCCAAAAAAAAAAAACAAACAAACAGGCTAGCCTGAACATTTTAGCATCAACCGGAGCGGAACCCGAATGTCTCGTTGGATTACCTAGTACAATGAATCTTATGGGCCCTGCGCATGATATTTCCCTGGGCCGTGTCTCTAGGCTACCATTAGTTAACTAGTTGTTGGGTTGTAATTAAGAGCCATGATCAAATGCTCATACTATATTGAGGACGAGTCGAAGATTACCCTTCCATGCCGTGTCGAGCCTGACGCGTGCATAGCTGATAGAGTCAGAGGCTCCAGCGTCAAGCTATCTCCGCGACATTTAGACCTGCACCCCGTTCCTAGTCCCTAAGCCGAAATCCTGAGCCCTTAACCGTATATGGCAGCTCTGGCCTGCCCACAGCTGGGGTATGTCGTCGAACTTGTCTTGTGGGTGCATCATGAGGACGTGATAGGCGGCGATCTGCCGCATCTCGGCGGCTGTGCCAGCACGCGTCCACTGTTGCTTCCCCTGACGGCAACGGGGCTGCAAGGGATGCTCTATTCGTAGAACAGCCTTCGTTTCAAGGTTGGGGGTGTGGGGTTTAAGGCTAAGGTTCTGGGACAGGTGCCTGCAGTAGACTACGTAACTCCAGCTCCGGAGGAACGTAACTCGACGTAGACCGGAAGGAAGACCCGTGCAGATCAGACTTGGCCACCAGCTGCACAGCTCGAATGTCCTCCAGGTCTGTTGAGACCATGTTGAAGGTTTTGGACAATGTCGGGTTTGCGCTTGCATAGAACCACTTCGTCCACCTTGCAATCAGATGGAAGGATCCCAGTAGGCCCACGACGACACTGGAGCAAGCAAGGCCTGACCTAGCTAAGGGGATGTGCACTGTGCAGAGACCCTTTCCCGATTAAGATCCTGGCTTGTTGAACTTCTGAGATCCCTTCGACTGTCTCTGACACGCTGAGGCCAACCATGCGAAGCTGTCCTCGCAAGCCATCTTCGTTGTGCTCTGGCCAGCATGAAGCCCGAAAGCCTGCTCCCGCACATTCTGGTCTTTCCAGTCCCATTTGGCATCATCCATAACTTTCCAGCACTCTAGGACCAGCTGTGATTGGTGGTAGCCAATGTCTTGCAACAGATCTTTCAGTGCTGCAGCGGTGGCGTCGTCATTACGGGCTGCGCGAGACACGGCCTGCTTGATGCGCTGAAAGAAGACTTTCATGCCCCCCATCATCGTATCCCGAACCTCTTTCCGGGGATGGAAAACACCAGCCATGCTGTTCGGCATGGCTGCCAGGTGAACCAGTTGGCTCCAGCACCTGGCTAGGGCTGGAGGTTTAGGGTTTATGGGGGCGCTGCTATGACAACTGACTTCGGCTACGGGCCGGGTGTGCCTGGCAGACGCAAGCTCCAGACAGACATTCCATGCCTGCACCCAAACATCTTGCTCCCGACGGGCCCAGGAATCTGCCCCGTCTAGCTGCAGTTCTCGGCTCTGCCATGCGGAGACGCGAAGATCCACGGCGAACTGATAGGTCTGATGGAGGCGCAGCAGCTTCAGGACGGTGGGGTAGTACGCGTCCCCAGCAGCCAATTCTGCGTTCCAACGCAAGCAGCTCTCCTAACGCGAGCATGCACTTTCTCAAGAAGCTAGCTTGTAGGTTTGAAGAGATGCAATGGCCGTCCGCACTCTATACTGACACTAGCACATCACTTGGGACCGTCCTGCCCCTTCTCTTGCCTGTCAATGCATGCGATAAACTCCTCCACCATAGGTCGGGTGGTGACGCCGATAATGTTGATCTCGTCCTGCAGACTCCTGACCAGAATCTTTTCTTCTCTAGCGAGTTTTGAGAGACACGGTAGTTATGATGCCACACCATCAAGAACCGCGTTCTGATGTCCTGTCGCACAGGAGCTTCGCGGCCAGCTTCTGCGTTGACACTTGCTTGCGCAGGCGTTGGAAGTGCTCCTTCGTGTTGGGGTCCTGCTCTGCCTCTTGCTCCTCATCACCTTGCCCGTCTTCCTGGAGGTCTCCGTCCTGTCGCCGAGTGCGCCAGAACACAAGCCAAACATGGACCCCCGCTCCCTTCCCCGTTGCTACAATCTCCGGCCACATCGTCAAACTCTCGCAGGAGCTGGTGCAGGAGCTCCGCGGAGATGCTCCAGTTCTCCACTATGGTCTTGCAACGAGCGGTGAGGTTGAACCATCCCTTGTTCTTCACCTGCGCATACACAACACCCTCATCTATTCATGGCTCTGCCTTATATAGATGAGTTCAACAACTGCTGGTGTGGAACTGCTAGGGGCCGTGCGTAAGGCATCCGGTTGGTGATCTCTTTCTCCTGTAGGAAGGATTCGATCGTTTCCGGCACTGCGTCCGAGGATATGTCGGTTTGACGATCAAAGCTGATCTGCTCGGCCAGCTCACTCATCCAGTCGGGATCGTGCGCATACCTGGCGGCCAGCTTCTCCGCCACGACTTGCTTGTCGAAGAGGTTGGAGCCGCCTTGGAACCTCAGCAGAACAAACCAGGAGATCATGCCATGGGCCAATATGAGGTACTGTTTCATGAGCAAGGGTTTGCATCGTGATACCGTATCGTTGTTATAGAGTCCAGCAGCGGGCCGTGGGAAAAATTTCCCAGCAGGGTAGCCTTGAGCATTGTGACGCTCAGGTTCGCCCGGACAAGACTGTTTCCTCGGCTTCAGTCTGAAGCGGCGGGGTTGGCTCCAGGAATCTATGCATGACAACTGCCCGCGTTATGCACTATCCCGGCCAAACCCACATGCCACACGTCTGCTTGTGTCTGCGAAGTGTCTGCAGTCGTTCCACATCGAGTGCAAATCATCGGGGCGGAACATGCATCTCAGCTTCAGCGACAGGAGGAGCCACGCCTTCTGACCGGCTTGTTCACGGTCTCCGATTCCCTTCAGGACGGGACGTTCCTTAGTGCTTGCCGGCTCCAAAGCCAGTGCTCCGTCATTGAGGGAGCATTTCTTCTTCGGCAGGAACATACCCAGATCGCATCCAGTCTGGTTCACGTTGTCTTGATTGAGCGCGCGCACCATGGCCTGCAATGGTTCAGGATGTGCTGAGAACTTGGGATTATTGATGTTAATTCACTCAGAGACCCTGCCAGAACACTGGACATATTCTGCACGGTCTTGCGAATGTTTTTGGCGTCCATGCCGCTTCCATCGAGCTTGTTCCTTCCAGGAGACACTGCGCACCTTCTCTACAGTACAGAACATGCGCCTGCCATGGCGGCACATGTTATGCTAGGCTGCGCGCGCTTCCGCACGAGCATCCACCACATGCTTCGTCACGGCCTCGGGGACAGGACAGGGACGGACTGCTAGACCACCCTGGCAGGTTTGGGCATGCGCACTGCTCACCTCTCTGCGCCAGTCAGCAGCTGACCTCTCTCTCTCTCTCTCTCCCCGTTTTTTGTCTCTGCAGGACACGACGACGGCAGCCATGCGTGCTAGGAAGGGCGCGCTTGGAGTCTCTCGGAGTGGAAGCGACGCAGGGCTTCGCAGACTCTGATGCTTTTGTTGAATCTAAACACTCGCAAATGAACAAAGTCCATTCCAGTAAATGGCCAACGCTATTTGGCCCTGCTGCTCCCGTTCAAAAACAGACTCCAGGCTCAGGAGAGCTCGCACGGCTACGCAAAGTTTCTGCTTACAGGAGGTTGTGACAGTGCCGCTGCGCTTGCACAGGTAGCAAGGAGGCACCGCTTGGGATCAAAAGTCGAGGCCACTAGAGGCCTCTGCAGGATAATCGGAGCATACACAATGCTCTGGCTCAAGCTACCTTTTACTCAGGCATCTTCACGTGTTCTTCGCCCGCCTTTGCGGCCGATGCTGCCTGCGTAGCGCCCTCGCCATCGCCGGGGTTGTCCTGCCCCTGCGAAGCCGACAGGTGAGCAGGGTTGCCGTACCACATATGTGATACTTCGCGAGAATACCTTATTGTTCGCCTGCTTTTCTAGAGCTTAGGGTTTGTGTTACGGAGCTAGCAGACTTTGTTTCCTTGCTACGTCGTTCTGACAGACCTTACAGTCACAGTTCATAGCTAGGGAAACGGTTTCACAGGGTCGGGCTTGAATGCCAGCTACACAGACTCTGGACCACTTGCGGCGGGACTCAGCTTCCTGAAGTTCCAGGTCAACATCTTGGATTCTTGGATCCTAACTTAAACAAAAAAAAACCTTGACCTCTCCCGAAGGAGAGGGAGAGCGAGAGCGAGAGGGAGAGGGAGGGGAAGGGAACACCGGGCCTCCCCAAAAGCCAGGTCCAAGCTCCACCCGTGACCCTTGCAAACTAGACGCGCCACACGCGGCCCAAACCCCCCGCCCCCCCTCCCCCAGAAGGTGTTGCCGGGCCCGACAAGCCTAGCCAAATCTCGCAGCCTGCCCAAACTAATCGGAAAGCCTCGGGCCTAGGTTCAGACCCCAAAACGCACGAATCCACCTACAACCGTCATGCTTGCGAGGCCTCCGTAGTCCCGGCACCGGGAGCTTCCTCCTTGGGCTTCGCATCTTCATCCTGCGTGGTGTCGCGGTTTTAGAATTGCATGGTTGCAGTTTCTCATTTGTCGGGGGTTTAGGATCTAGGGTTCCGGGATTCGGGCGTTTCGGCTTGAGAGCAAGTCTGCCATATGGGTTAAGGCAAGGTTCACGGATTGCGTGGTTTAACAACAGTATCCCCAACTTCGTGCTGAAGCCTGACATGACACCATCGCCTACTACGCCCAAATCCCGATGCATGCAGGCCGAAATAACAAACTTCTGTGCGTCACCGCCGGTCTCTCCGAAACCACAATCAGAGATGTAACCGTCAATCCTGCCTGCTTACGTTCTATCCTAGCATGCGTATTATACGGTTGTCACTATTATGATTGTAATTTTCCAAGTGAAGCTCTCGGAACGACAAGCCATTGCCCGAGGCGTTGCTGGCTCTGGTTCTGGCACGAGATGTGCCCGCACGAGCTAGTCCAGGTCTTTGGGATATAATGGATTTACGGAATAGGGCGCAGGGCTTCAGGGCTCATGGGTTGCAGAGAATGCTCCAAGTTCCAGGATGCCACATGTGCAATTAGGAGTTAGTAGCTCGAGCGCACGTAACTACAGTCCTAGGCTTGTCTGGCTTCTAGTTGAGTTCCTCTCGGGAACTTTTGGGCAAAACACAAACACAAAATCGGAAGTCCTGGACACGTGTCTCTGGTCCTCAAAGCATCACTAACACATCAAGTCCCGATTCACGAGTTCCTGAATCCGCTACCCAGCCTCCTGAATCCCCCATGCTCAAGATCCTCGTGCGTTTCTGAAACAGATCGTTCTTAGAACACTACGACCAATGGCAGTAGTTAGCTACGAAGACGTTTGCACCTAACAGCTAAGCAAGCACAGCAGCAGAATCTGTGACGGGAACGCAAGTCCCTAACAGTTCCTAACTGGAAAGCAAAGACACAACAGATGGTTCCATCTAGCTGAACGTGAGTAAGCAAACAGCTCCCACAATAAAAAACCGAAAGTAAGCAAACAGCTCCTACATATCGGGCCCCGATAACCGAAAGTAAGCAAACAGCTCCACTTATCGGCCCCCGATAACCAAAAGTAAGCAAAGAGCTCCTGCTTATCGGGCCCCGATAACCGAAAGTAAGCAAACAGCTCCTACTTATCGAGCCCCGATAACCCAAAGTAAGCAAACAGCTCCTATTTATCGGGCCCTGTACGGACAGTAAGCAAGCCAATTCCAATTGCAGGGGCTGATGGAAACCCATCCCAGCAAAAGACTTCAGCTGATCCCTGTGCCCCGAAGAGCCACCGATCGTCATGACTACGGCCGCCCCCTACGCAGGCCTCTCCCGGGGCCGTCCAGGCTTATCCCGAAGAGAGAATCACGACTCAGGAGACCCCCCATCCAGGCCTATCCCGGAACCATCCAGGCTTATCCCGAAGAGAGAATCACGACTCAGGAGACCCCCCATCCAGGCCTATCCCGGGACCGTCAGGCTTATCCCGAAGAGAGAATCACGACTCAGGAGACCCCCCATCCAGGCCTATCCAGGGACCATCCAGGCTTATCCCGAAGAGAGAATCACGACTCAGGAGACCCCCCATCCAGGCTTATCCCGAAGCCGTCCAGGCTGCAGCTCGGCTGGCCTCGTCGCCATCCGTCTTCGGTGGCATGGCCTGCCGGTGCGATAAAAATGGAACGGTTTTGAGGGTCCTATAGTCAGGCCATCCCCAAAGATCGGTTTCTAGCTATACGAAGGACAACTTGACGGCGGGAGGAAGCAGTTACAAGTCCTTCTTTTTTAGTATACAAACCTCATAAGACTCAAGTAGAGACTCGAGTAGCGACAGCTAGTTTCGTTGATTCATGTACGGAACCCCTAGATATGTCATCTTCATTCTACACGAAACAATCCAAGACTGGCGTGGCTCCCGGCGCTGCTAAGAACCGCGATGAGTACAAGCCAACGTTATGAACCCATCGGCGGTCCTAGACTGATACCAACTCTAGTCCAAGTCTAGGCATCAATAAATGCAGAACCAAGTAACCGAACCTGGAGTAGCATCAGAAACAATCCCCAACCGTCGACTTAGTGGAAATTTTATGTTATCGATGTCAATGGACATCTCAGAGAGTCATGAGTTGATCTCATGCGCTGAGGAACCCATTTAAGCTTTTGTGTTAGATCGAATATGAAACCAGTAGATACATCTAGTCTCCGGAAAAAAAAACAACAGACGAAGCTGGCTCATCAGTGCCTATAAATGAGCCCAAATTTATGATGCGCGCGCGCGCGCATCATAAATTTTGGCACTATTTCGCGAGTGCAGGTTGTACCACTTGAGCACCAATCTCCGAAAAAGCCCAATGAAACGCATGGCCTGGTCAGCCTTGTAGGCAATCAGCAGGCGATCAGCTCGGAGAGACTTGCATTGCTTGGTCTGGCTAGCCACGAAGACCACACCTTTCGTAGCGCTCAGAGCCTCAACCGACACGGAAACAGACAGGGTGCAGACACAAGGGTTGCACGACAGGCTTTGACTGTGACTCACAGTCCCTGAAGCATTCTGTTCAAGGGGCTCGCTCATCTTTGACAAGCACCCAGTCGTCGCAGCCTCGATTCCCGGAGGTCGGCAGGTGCACTTGCATGTCTAGGGTGGAGTCGCGGAGGATGTGGCGCTGCTCCATCCGGTCGAACTTCAATGAATACTGCCCCTGCGGCGGAGAGGGCAAGGAATGACGAAGCAAACTTAGGTTTCAGTCCATTGCTAAACACGGCAAGAGCGACAACAGTCCTCTTCCCAGACTTCGTCCTCGCTCTCACTCTCGCAAAGCAGCAAGTCCGTGTTCGTCTCGGCTGGGCGCTTTCTGCTGCCGGTAGAGCTGATCGTGTCGTGCGGCTGCAGCTGGCGCCCCTTCGCCGGCGGCGGCAATCCCGGGCCCTTGGTTGCCTGACCGAGCAAATGCTCAAGCACAGAGCGTCTCTGCTCGTAACCCAGGCCACAATCGCCGCAGGCAGCCCTTGGTAGCATACACTTGCAGAGGGTCGGAGGCAGTACCCGCAGGGCTTGCAGACCTAGACTGGCCTGCTTGGGCACAGGAGGTGCAGCTGCACCCTTCGGATCCGGCTTCGGTAGGTTCGCACAGTAGAAGTCCCGGGGGAGGATTTGCTTGAGCACAGGGCGCTCCATGAGCGCTTGCTTCGTGACATGCAAGTCAATAATGGGGGCCATCAGGTCATCTGCATACACCACTTTGCTTCCACGGCTCCTTTCCACGCCCTCTGTCTTAATGTACGCTCGCATGGCGCGAGTGTCCAGCCCCTGCGACGGGAGTATCGTTGATGTGCACGTGTTCTCAAATCAACCCTAGCTGCTGCTAAGCCACAAGCTCCAAGGGAGTCGCGGGGAGGTCCGGTACCGCCTCCTTCGTGAGCTCCAGGTCGTTCTCACCATTGGACAACCACCAGCGGCCGTCCTCTAAGGTGACGGAGAAGCAGTCCTGGCCGTCCAGCAGCAGCTTGGTAAACTTGTCGATGCCTGGGTAGTCGAGGTAGTGGCCGAGGCGACCGCGATTCTGGTAGGTCTCGAGCAGACTCGCCTGGAGCGCGTCGGGAGCTTTCCTGACGAATGCGGGATGAAACAGCATGTCCCAAGCACAAGCTCAACCGCTTCTGAGTCAAGGGGCCCGTAGAATCCCGTTGGGGTGTCTTTCGTCACGCCCCAGTACGTGAACGCCATCGACCAAAGGTCCTCTGTCGACTTGGTCGACAGGAAGGTCGAGTTGGTGGACTTCCCCTGCCGTGAGGGGCAATGAGGAGGCTGTGACAGCAAAAAGGACCGCTCTGAGCATTTATCGTTGCTGCTGGGCTGCTCCGCACGCTGTGAAGAAACGCCGCAAGAGGTAGTCCTGAGTCCACAGGCAGGTGCGACAACACAGCCAAAACCAGGCCGGCCGCAGCACTGGACTGAGCAGCTGGCGGGCATGTTCTTCCAAGAACTCGCCCAAACAACCTCCGACTCTCGCTGCCGTCCTGCACCGGCCTTGGCTGGCGGCTGCTTCTTGCGACCTCCTGGGTCGCTGAAGGAGCGTCCGCCTGCCGCTGCGGCCATCTGCTGCTGCACTTGCAGCTGCATCATCTCCTGTGGCGAGCTGGCCACCTCAGGATGCGGGAGCGAAGGAGGCGCAGCCGCGCCCCAATTGATGGCCGTCGATCTGGTGGGAGGAGGCGCTTCCTTCGGCGCTCCTTTCGTTCTCGGGGCAAGAGGCATCGCTGCCACAGAAGTCTAGTGGCCGGGGAGGGCACCGTGAAGCAGGAGCTGTCGAGCTGTCGGAGCAATGCACAGACTATACTGATTGCAGGAGTCAAACGATCGATGCAACTTAACGGACGCACGCAGAGCACATGTGTGAAAGCTGGCCTCGGCACTGAGGACGATCAGAGTGTCTCCATCTGTTTTGCAGGGCAGCAAAGCTCTGGGAAACTAGTCTACTGAACTGTTTAGGTGAAACTCCTGCAGCCAGATCACAGACTTGCATACCGTCTCCTGTGCCGAAGAAACACAGGAGACGCACGTCACTGTCACTTTTACATTATTTGTGCCGGCTATAGAACATTATTTACTTTATTCGAAAGTGAAGCCCACACGTCACGTCCCCTGGGACGCAAGCACCTTCGCCTCTCTGTGTCTGTGGCTCACAGGCTACGCTTCACGTCTGCAAAGCGGAAGCAGGACAAGGCCACCATCTGTACCATGGCAGTGGTTAGCAGGCTCATTGAGTTGCCTGCGACTGTGTGGGATCGCTTAGGATCTAGCACCGGGAACGTAGGCACTTTCAGCTTCTGAGCTTCGCGAGCACGCACAGGGAAGGTAAGGGAAGACAGCCTGGGCATCTAATTATGTAGGGTTTATAGTTTAGTACTTAGGGTCTAGGGTTTAACGAATTTAGGGTGATGTTCTTATACAGCTGCGCAAGCAACACAGCTCCTGCCCGAAACATGTGCCGCCAAAGGCGCCGCTCTGCAGCTGTCATCCAGCGCTGGCGACTGGGAATCCAAAGTTTGCCATTCTGTCGACGCAGGCAAGGCACCTTCCCGGAATGGGCTGACCAGTTCACGCAGTAGCTCGGGTTGTCGCCGAGGAAGTAGATCAGGTCTGGGTCGTGCTTTGGCAGAGATCCATATTTGGACATGTAAAGGGCGTCCAGCTCCTCCACAACACGCCTCTCTCTCTGGTTGAGCACGTAGCTTAAGTCAGTCCAGCCAGGCACGTAGGTCAACCCACGCTGTCGGCAGGATTCCATGGCCTCAAGCTGTACCTCCAACTCTGGGGCTGAAAGATAGTCCCTTGGCTTCGTACTGTGCATTGACTTGACAGCCTTGGATGCCAGCTGGTAAAGCTCCCGGGGGTCAAACAGAAGATCGTACTGCCCGGAGAGGGCGTAGATGATGTAGGTCCTCGGGCGGGACACGGCCGAGTGTCCGCAGTCAGCCATGTTCACGAAGATCTGAAAACGATCGTACATGTCGATGAGCAGACTATCCAAAACGTCTATCTGCAGATCCTGGGCAGCTGTACACGGGGACACACAGACAGAAGTGGAGCGAGCTACTTCTTAATGCGCCGTATCAGTAGGGAACAAAAAACACGCAACATGAGGCCACAGATATCCTAGACACGACGGTGTTCTCCAAGATAGCCAGCTTCACTCCGCATCTCCGCAAGCGCAAGGCCCAAACAGCAAACATGGGGCCCGTCTGCCCCTCAAAGAATGCCCGTCCGTGCTTCGAGCGACTGTTGTCTGTACAAGGAAGGCCGCTGTGGTCGTAGTCCACGTACGGAAGAGGGCAGTCATGTCCGTGTGTGAGGCAGCGCTGATAGAGTACAGTCGGCTCGGCAAAGATGCGACGCCTCTTTTGTGCAAATGCAGAATCTGGGCAGTAAGCGCCGCTGGGCACCAACTGCAAGACATCTGTGAATCTGCACGGGCAAGGATGGCTGTGTCCGCTGGCAAGACAGCACCAATTGTGGTGCTCCACGATGAGCTGCTGGCAGTGTGAATCCTTCTCCTCACAGGCATATAGTATTACAATCCACACCATGCAGCAGTCAACAGGACAGGAGTCGTGCTTTTTTTTAGCACATGCAACAAACTAGCGACTAGTGTACCTAGCAGCTAGCAGTCTCGAGAGCAAGCCTTTCCAAGACCTAGGCGAGCCAGGATTTTGTTTTAAGGCACGCACCCACACGGCGCAAGGTCTGATGGCCGCGGGCTTCTGGAGCACGCCAGAGCTGTTGACGGTCTTCATGGACAGGCACAGCCCTAGTTCACCCGTGTAGGCTCCAGTGCACATAGAGGAGCTCGTTGCAAAACTAGTCCAGCAGCTGTCCTGGACATTGGGAATGTGTTTGCCGAAGTCATCAGTGCATGGGCAGACACGCACGACCTATAGCTCGGGATAGGCTCAGGGGTGTGGCTTCGGGTTCCGCTGACATGCGCATGTGTGTGTGTGTGTGTGTGTGTGTGTGTGTGTGTGTGTGTGTGTGTGTGTGTGTGTGTGTGTGTGTGTGTGTGTGTGTGTGGTTGTGTGTGTGTGTGTGTGTGTGTGTGTGTGTGTGTGTGTGTGTGTGTGTGTGTGTGTGTGTGTGTGTGTGTGTGTGTGTGTGTGTGTGTGTGTGTGTGTGTGTGTGCGTGTGTGTGTGTCTGTGTGCGTCTGTGTGTGTGTGTGTGTGTGTGTCTGTGTGTGTCTGTGTGTGTCTGTGTGTGTGTGTATGTGTCTCTGTGGGTGTATGTGTGTGCGCGTGTCTTGGTGGGTGCGTCTTTGTGTGTGTGTGTGTGTGTGTGTTCGGGTGTCTGTGTGTGTGTGTGTGTGTGTGCATGTGTTTTTCTTTGACAGTGTCGCTGTGCACCTGCACACGTGCTTCTTCCAACAGTAGCACTGACAGAAGACTGAAGAGGAAGAGGAGTGGAAGGGAAAGAACGACAAGAAGAGCACAACGATTACTACCGCTGCTCATCTTGATGCCTACCAGTACTTTGCTGCTTTCCTAGCATCACTAATCGTAATTACTCGTAGCTGAAATAATATGTGAGAAGGATACTACTGAAAATTATTCTCGAGCTTGAGAATCGCTCCCTGTCCCTCTCTCTCTCTCTCTCTCTCTCAATCTATCTCTCTCTCTCTCTCTCTCTCTCTCTCTCTCTCTCTCTCTCTCTCTCTCGCTCGCTCTCCGTTTCCAAAGTCTCGACTCACTCTCCAATCCAATGCCCGCCGAGTCCTGGAGCTGCTGCTTACCAACAGCGCCAGTGATGACATTCCACGCCACCTGGCATTTATCATTCCATTTTTCGAATGACAGTGAGACTGAAAAGCCTTATGCCACATTCCTCAAAGCTGTTGACCTGCTAGACATCTCCGCCCACCTCAAGTGCATTCGGTGACGTTGTCATCGGGGCATCCGCCTGTTCAACCAAGGCTGCGGCCGGGTCGCATGCAACGATACTTGGATGCATGGGCAGCCCTAAACATGCTCATATTTCCGAAACCTGACCTGCTGCTTCGTGTGCAGCATCGACTGAACGGGAGACTCCGATTCTGTCGACTGGTCCAGCAAATCTTCAGTGCATGGAAGCGACGGGGTACTGCTGGAGGGACCAGCCATGCGCTGGTCGAAGCTAGCAAGGACTAGCCGCGGAGCCCAAAGCAACTGCACAAAAGCTCATGTTACCTAGTGTCCTCCCACAGTAGCAACCGCCGACAACATGATACGCATGCAACGAAACATGCAAGGACGAGTGCAGTCTGCGAAACTGACCGCTTGGCACTGGGCATCAGGCGAGTGGCCTCCCCATGGAAGCCAGGTCAAGCCAAGGGCCTAGGAAGCTCGTTGCACAGATAAACACTGAACACTCATCGGTCGCAAGAGGGCCTGGCAATATCGCACGAACAGCTCCGTCGGCACCTTGCCTATGTTGGAGCCGTCCAAGTAGACCTGTTGTGCTTCTCATTCAAAACATATGAAGTTAAGTCTTCTTGCTAGGGCGCTGGCCCAGAACACACGCTCCTGCTTGAACGCCTGTTTGGACTTCTGCTCGTAAGCGACCTGTGAGGAGCAACGCAGCCCGCCACTGCTTATTGAAGTGAGCGCAGGAAAGTCGAAAATAAACATGGGAACCAGGCCATCTCCTCTGTAGCGACTCGTGCCAAGCTGGCCTTTTTTTTGTAGGCTGGCATAGCATCACGAAGTAACTGCACCTGAGATCAGGGGACGTGACGTGGAGAAAACTAGCTGCATTGTGTCATCATCTTTGATCCAAAGTGCCTCCTCTCTGCGAACCTTCTGAATGGCCTCGTGTCTCTCAGCAAATGTTGTCTTTTTGAGAACCTGCATGATCCTCGGATGAGAATCTTTTGTGTCGGCGATGTTCATGATTCTGCCATCCTGAGAAGAAGCCAAGGTGAAAGGGTTTAGGGGTGTAGGGTTTAGGGTTCAGAGTGCAGGCACAATACAGCTGTAAGTGTTGCGGCACAGGTGCTACCACTGCTTCAAGTTGTGCTACAAGATTGAACACCGTCAGGGCGGCCCGGCGGAAATAGGGGTTTCGCTGCTGCCTTGGTTGGGCGCACGCATTGCACGCGCAAAATGAACTCGCAACTAGTCTGTGCACGCCCCTGGCAAAACCAAGACGCGTCTGAGAAGCAAAGCTGATCAGATCTGCAATATGAGGTCGCGACCATGGAGACGTGATCCCAAAGCATTCGGCTGATACCTTGAGGCTGAGAGTCGAGGAACAGAGAAGATCGCACATGACTGCTTAGGATGAGTTCCCATACTTGTCATGAAATCTAACATTGTTCGTCGTGGCTCTAGGCGACCATTCCAGTGTGCACGCAGTTCCTCGACAAAGTCTGCCGAACCCCACAGGTCACCGGAGCTCAGGCAACCATCTGACCATACCGAGTCGAGCCATTCGTCGTCGCTCACTCGGCAAATTTTCAAAGTCACATTCCCCGCCAAAGCTGCGGAGAGCAAGCCCCTGGTTGCGACCGACGACGCAGCAACACTTTCCGGATATCTCGAAGGGCCTACTGCCCAGGCAAGTGTTGCGAGGAGAATGGAGGTGTGCATCGTGTGCTCTAAAAGCAACCCGTCGTGCAATCTGACATGGGACCTCACTGGCAAAGGAGCTGGCACCTGAGCTCACAATGATCAACCTCCTTGCGATGATGCAACACTGCTTGCGCTTTCTTTAGGAGCTTGTAACACCCAGTGCTGCTGAGACACAGATCGGCCTGGGAAAATGCACTGGTGATACTGACTGATTCCTTTGTCTCGCTGTGCGAGAAAGTACTTCTTCTGGTTCTTGCGATGGTCTGTCCTGGCTTGCTTGCTGTCCTTCATAGCCAGTCTGTCTCCGGAGTCCGGCAGCAACATAGGCCAGACATCTGCAACCGACCACTGTTTCGCAGAAACCTGGCTCCCAGCAAAACCCCGCACAAACACTCTCAATACTGGACCTGACCTTGTCCATACCAGCCTCCCATAGACGAGAAAGACAAGACAAGCTGCATTCACATCATATACCGCCACCAAGCGGTTTCCCACATCCAGAAAACCTAGCGTGCTGCAGCAGATGACAGTTGACTGTTCAGGGTTCCCCTTGCGCACAACACGGAAAGCAACTGAGTCCGTATCGTTCGAGCTGAAGCTTGAGTTCACCGTCGCTCATGGCATCTTCTGGAAAATCTGTGCGCTGTTTTCACACACTACCGCCTGCCCAAAACATTAAATTAAGAAACATGTCTGCTAACTCTTGCGATCTCGATAGCTCATGTTGTCCTGAAGACAGTCGTGTTGCTACACCATCCAAAAACCTAACCGACACCTTGAAAAGAAGTGTGCCAAGCAAGACAGGATCAGAGACACATCGCAGATGCCAGCATAAACTCAAGGTGCTTGTGACAGGCCCTCGGGATAAGCCCGTATCCATCTTGTGAAAGGCCCTCGGGATAAGCCCGGATTCGTGTTGCCGAACCACCCCCTCCCCCACCCACCCCCCCCCCAATGCATGATTTTATGCCATTAGGGGTTTGGGGGTTTAGGGTTTATGATTTAGGCCAATAGGGGTTTGGGGGTTTAGGGTTTATGGTTTAGGCCATTGGGGGTTTGGGGGTTTAGCGTTGTGTAATTTTGATGTGCACCCAAAGTGCGTTGTCTCGTTGCGAGATCGCTGGAACAAGGGACTCAACATGTAGGTACACATGACCAAGCAGAGCCCTGAGTGCTGCAAGCGGGCTAGTTCTCAACTTGACTACGATGCCTCTGCAGGAATCTGGAGGTCAGAACAACTGATGCACGTGCTCCTTCATTGTCTCGACTCATTACTCATTACCTTAACCTACCAAAGCCTACTTTTTTGTAGGGTCCCCATAATGTCCATACTAGGGATGATAATAAGAACCTAGAAAAAGTAGGGTTAGGTAGTTTAAGGTAGACCATACATGCCCCCAAAAGCCTTTTGAAGTAAGGCCCCCGTGTTCGAAGTGGCTCGGGCTCGGACCCTGGCCCGGTAGCTTCTGAGCATCCGTCGTCTTCACGCAGGACCTTCCTATGTGGGTGGTTGTCAAAATTATGGTCCCTTTTTGGATCCCTATTGCACTACGGCACCTATTATTTAGGGTACCAAAAAAGGGACCATAATTCTGACAACTACCCATGTGAGTCTTAAACTCCGCATTAGTCGAAAACTCAAACTACACCAAGCCCCTAAAGCCTTACACAAACTATTTCATGCTGACAACCCCTACGCCCAGCCCTGAATGCTAATCACTACCCTCTAAGCACCCAACCTATGATCCGTAGGCCCTGCAGCTCACCGCGAATCCTAAATCATCCTGAAGTAGGTTCCTGAGTCGTACCCTTTTGCCCTTGTTGTGTTAGGGACCCCTTATTATTGAATCCTTATAAATAGTGCGAAAAAGGTTACCCTTATCTTATGAAGGGGTTATCAGGAACCCTAGACCCTAAACTCTAAACCCCCAAACCAGACCCTGAACATTATAAAGGGGTTACTCGCTTGGAGGCTCGGGGGACTTAGCAAGTGTTTGTTTTGCAGGCTTGTAAGTATCATACCGCCTATAAGGATCCCCCTTAGGGTACTTAGAAGTCACTTAGAAGTCTACTTCATACCTACATAAAGTCTTCCGACCCTCCAAGCAAGAACCTAGAACTCTCAACCCTCCACCCCTACACCCTAAACTCCTAGACCCCAAACATTACAAAGGGGCTACTCAGGACCTTTCCCAGAACATCCCCACAGCCGAAGCTTTGCAAGGTATAGCAACTTCCAGGCTGCCCCGGCCGATTTGGGAAGGTTGAGGAGGGGCTAAGAGTGCTGTAGGGTTTTATGGTGGGGGTCTGGGGTTCCTCTGAGACACTAAGAGTGCCTTTAAGGGATCCATATAGGGGGTTCAGGGGTTTAGGGTTTCAGGGGTTTAGGGTTTCGGGTTCGGGGGTTTCGGCTTTCAAGGCTTGGGTGGAGTTTATATAGGGGCTCGTGTTTACGGTATTTACATGGGCGGCTGGTGGGGGGGGGGGGGGCATTTTTGCCTGTTCCTGGGTACCTATGTAGGGATTACTTTACGGCCAAAGTATATACAATTTGGGTACATGGACCCTTCGGGTATGGGAGCTCAGGGGATCTTGTCTACGAATTTGTGCATGCTTTCCACGGCCAACCTTTTCAGCGTGATGTTGCTGTAGGGATCCTGGCTAGGGTTACTACTGTCGGTGCTGCGGTGATTCTTGCTGCCCAGTTTTTGTTTTGCAGTGTCCGTCCCGAATCAGTGGGAATGAGTTCAAGCTGAAGCTGATCTGCAAAATTACCCCCAAGCCCTAAACTGGACCGGATTTCCAAGAAGCAGCCTTATCAGCTGTAATGGGGCGCATGTTAAGCCCCCTGCAATCTGGGTGACTGTAAGATCTGACAATGTGGCCCAAATCAAATTGAGATGCTTGATGTCGTACTGTTGTTCACACCGCGTCTGGGAAGTGCTCTGAGGCCATTGACTGGGTGTACTTGAAGCATCTGCTCGTCATATATTATATCTATACATATATATATATATATATTTATTTATTTATTTATTTATTTAGGTATTTAATACAAGTATGTTTATAAGTATACTTATAAGTATAGTCAAACGTCTATATATATATATACATACATTGTTTCCTACCTGAGGCATAAGTATAGTTTGAAATATAGTTATATCTATATATATATATCTTTTCATCAGGTATCTTGCTTTATAAAAGGTGTGTGGGTCGCTGTTTCTCTGAGACCATGAGAGCCGACACTTCGACCCATAAACTCCTGAAGCTCCGAAGCCCTGCTTAGGCTCCAGCTTTGAGTGTTTAAGCGTTCGGGGCGGGGTTTAGGGCTCAGGGCTTAGAGGTTTAGGATTTAGCCGTTTAGGGTTCAGGGTTTAGGGTTTTAGGGGTTTAGGATTT